CACGCTAAATAATAATAATAAATAATTATTAATAATAATAATATTATGATATTAATCTTAAAAAACAAAACAAAACAAAAACTTGTGGCTTAACCATAACAACTCCAACAGCTGGCTGCTTACTAGAGGGGTTTAAGAGGATTTCAGTATTTAATGATGATTTAACTTCTGTTTGTTTGTTTGTGTTTATACTGTAAAAAATATGGCAACAGAGAGAACATTAAGTTATGTAAGTATTAACAACAGAGTTGTTCTAATGCAGTGATAATCCTTCTCTATGTATTAATCATCTTGTAGAAAAGGAAATGTAGAACAGCAGAAACCCTATGAACATAAGAAGGTTTACCAAACATATCTAGCATATGCTTTCAGCAGAGATTTGACAATTTACCAGCAGAATGGATTAAGCTTTTCAACACAGGCTCCATAGCTGTTCATCAAAAGGTTAAGGATGTTCAGCCCTGAAGAAGAAACACAGGAGTTCAGCAGCCAAGTGAAAGTAGCAAATCTGTTCAATTTCCTGCTCAGTATTTGTATGTTTGCTAGTGGAAAAAATACATCCAAGCTTTCATCTAAGTTTTGTGTTGGACATATGTACCCTTCTGCTGGAGGACATGTCCATATCAAAGATTCACCAATCATTTTAATGAAAGAGTGCAGTAGCATAGGGGGTGGTATTTGATTAATGCCTCATGGCAATTCCTGTGTTCAGAGCCTGATGCACTGGAGTCTTCCTGTTAAATTCCAGCAGGCTCTGTGCTCTCACGCTTTTTAATAGTACAATAGCCTAATCTGAGCTCATACTTTTGTTAATAAAAAGTAGCTAGTCCTTAACAGACTGTAAAAGAAATTTGATTTCTAGGAACTCAGAGGACAACTTCTAAGAAATTGTTGAGATAAAACATACTGAGCAAGCCTATGAGCACTAAGCTTAAATCTGCCATTTGCTGGGTCTAAATCTCCAGTTTTGGATGGAAAAACAACAGGAAAAAACAATTCATATAGCCTCAGGGTATATGCTGGGAGTCTAGAAAAGAGAAATGATTTATCAGAGGCAAAATTTCAAGTCAGAACACACAATTTTGTCTTTGTAGCCATGTTGTGGTGCACCTGGTCCTGGGCTGGTACACAATGTGTCACCTACCTTGGGTCACTTCCAATATAGCATCCCTTGGCCCGTCACAGTCCTGCACTGGTGCGCAGTGGCAGCCAAGGAAATGCACAGCTCATTGTATTTGTATGATCCAACACTGACATCGTGTGGCTGCCTGGAAAGGGTCGACCTCCTCAGGCTTCACTTGTAACTCTGCTGGCTGTTGGACTATCAGTCCCCATGACTTCTAAAAGCATGTTAGTGATTTGGAGCTTGGGAAGACAGCATAAAACTAACAAAAAATGCCTTCACTCATTTTCCTTCTGAAAACTTCCAGTGAAAAACGCCATCATTCTTGTTATGTGCAAACTGATTTTTCAGGAAATTCATGGTTGGTAATACCACCCTACTGGTTCACTTGTGTAGTCAGTGGCATTCCAGCCATGGAGATGACATGGCCATATTGGCACTATGCTGGATTGAAAGCTTACTTCCATGAGTAGAAAAGAGATTTGCTGCCTGTTTAGCCCTTCCAAAGACATTGCATGCCAAAGACTTTCATAAGGAGACAATGCAGCATGCCAGTTTCACCATCACATCTGTGTGAAGTACAACATGCTCTTGGGAAAGTTCCCATCTAACCCAGACTGAACCAGATACAGAGAGTCTCCAGTTACTGTTAGTGGTGATTTAAAATAGCTTTCATTTTGACTAGCTGTGTCTCTGCCATGTAGGGATTGCTTTTATGATTTATCAAAGCTTCTTAAGGATGTTCTTTCTGAGCTGCCTGCTGCTTTTTTTTTTTTCTTGCTTTTTTTTTTTTTTTCAGTTAGCACAGTAGTGTACAGCACTAGAGAGATATTGGTGTATATGTTCTTTATTAAAGATCAAACAAGGTAATCCATAAATAACTCTGCAGCTAAAAAGCTTGTGGCAGCTTTGGATTATAAGAGACATGCTTGTGGCAAGAGGCTATACAATTTAATTCCATGATTTTGATGTCCAAGTTCCACCAAAATCATTTGAAATTGTGTAGAGAAGTCACCAGGTCTATCTGACAAGTTGGTGGAGCATGGTCAGTATTGCCTGAACTAATCTATTCCCACTGCACAGCACAAGGCAGGCATTCTGTATTGCAGTAGAATAACACCATCACTCTCCACAGTCCCTGTAATGAATATTATTTCGAAACCTCACCTCACACTGTTCATGGGATGAGTCTGTTCTATATGCAGGAACAATAACTGCTATTAATGATCAGTTAGTGGTTGAATTTGACTATGAAACATAGTAGACATATAACGAGAGGGAGAAAAAGTAAGCAGTGATGGAAGAGATGTTCCAGGTTGGATGTTGATTTTATTCACAAATTCATGGCTCAAGAAAGAAAAGTGCATCCCAAGCTTCATCTCCCTCTCCAAATGTGTGCAATTTTGTATGAATATGAAGCTATTAGCTGGCCTATTTGGACATAGGCCTACAGCAGAATTAACTGTAGAGTGGATGCTGGTGTTGTGTGCGCATGTGAATGTATACTCTCACTCCTTGTATGACTCAAATTAGAGAGGAAAACTCTTTGGGGCGTGATAATGAAAGCCTGATTAGACAAGTGTAAGCTCCTGGGACCCATCCAAACCGAAGATCAGGTTGCTAATGCCACCACATTGTACATATCAGTTTCTGATCAATGACGTCTGAAAAGGATGAAACGCAAAAGCCCACTCTCATTCCTTTATTGAGTAATTTGGCTTCAATTCCAGCACAGTAATGAATTCAAAGTCCAACAAACCAATTTTGACTTATTGGTTTGCTAATTAAAGTCTTAATTATGTCAATAGGTGTTTGGGTCTGCAATAATTCAGTCTCCTTTAATTTGTCTCCTGACTTTTACAGCCAATTGTCCATCACACACCAACCTGTGCTGTCTTTGGATAATGGCAGAAGGATGTGTTTGTGTTGGGGGAGCAGGGAGGTTTGAGTTAGATGAAAAGGAGAGAGAAATTGGCCTATAAACATTACAGGAACGGACACAGGCTGCAACTACAAATGTCTTACACATGGGAAGGAGGGATGAGAACCCAGCCATAGGCAGGTTGGTGCCATGCAGAATGACCTGTGCTTCCAGGTGATTAAAAGGCTTTAGCCTAGATTCACCAAGGGCTATATACAGTAACATTTTATTAGCCCGACTACTTGTTTTCCAACCATAACCTACCTGGAGTAGTACCACAGTAGTACATAAGGACAGTACCATAGCTCTATTTTGAAAGCACTACTTTGTCTTGGACAGTCATGGTAACAAATCATGGTGTTTCTTCACTAGGAGTCCCCAGAAGAACACTACAGCCTGACAAGGATACAGTTTAGTACATAACACCACAATATGACTTACAAGAATAATAAGGTAAATTTAGCCTTTATTAAAACAACAGATTGAAAATACCAGTTTGTACCAGGCAGAGTGAAACTGGCATTGGTTTGTTTTGCAGCACAGTTGTGCCAATGAGTATCTCCTGCTGCTGACCAGAGTATCTGCTTATCTGGACTATTTAGAAGTGCACTCTGCCAAATCCCAGAAAATACGTCAAATCTTGTAACATTCTGAGGATGGACAATGACTTGTTGGGATTAAGGTGAGGCCAATTCATTTTCTGTCTGTGAAAGTGCAAAGTAATTGTCACCAAAAGTAAACGGGAAATGCATATAATCAATGCACTCATTATCCTCTCCCTGTGGCTGGTTCCTTTGCCATTTGATATGATTGAGGAGTGAGTCAGAAAAAAGAAAACCTATCTCTACAGACACAGGCACATCACCAGATCCCTTTGTTGGCTACTAATCACTTTGCAATAGGAAAGCAGCAACCCCCTAGATTTTGTACTCCCTCCATGCTCATGCCCCTGTTTCCATCACCTGCTCCATGTATTTGCTGACTTTTGGAGCTTCTGTGGGAGATGTCATTAAGCACCTCTGTTTCCCGTAGAATTGTCTGACATAGCATAAAGATAAAAAGGGCCAGGAAATTTCTTCTGGGACTGCACACACACAGCTTCATCCTCACTGCCTTCCTTTCTATGTCTCAAGGTAGAGATACCCAGTGATCCTACCACACTAAATCACAGATAGCATCAGCAATCATAACTATCTCTGGGGTAAAATAAAATAAATAGACAGACAGAGATATATCCTTATCTTTGTAGGAAAGGATAAAACAGAGACCTGCATTGTTGACATATATCTGTGACTAATTTTAAATGCAGATGTATTTTTCTGGAAATTTGTGGGGGTAACACCAGAACTTACAGTTGAAGTCCCTGTTCACTTGACAAAAGGCAGAAATGTCCTTTCCCTGTATAGTTAACTGGTATAGAAATTGCCAAAGGCACATGAAGAAGCAGCAACACCCCCACCCCAACACCAACTCCTGATGATGGTAGGCAGCTGCCTATAAGGAGGTTCATGACCTCAATATATGGGACCAGAGGAGCTCAAGTTTAGTTATGGATTATATTCCTGAAATGAATTCTTAAATATACATACAAAAGCCTGAAAAAGAAGTGTTCAAGCACTTAATACATTGCTGCCTTCAATGTTTTTCTGCTTCGAGGTCTTATTCATTTAATCAATCAACATAAGTTCCATGTTAAAAGCCCTTTAGGTCATGATCAGTTCATCTAATAATTTCTATGTATTATTGATTCAGTGTCTCAGAGTTGTGTTATGTTCTTCAAGCAGAGAGTCACAATGTGAATTGGCCAAGGTTGTTCACACAGCTCATGCATTCTCTTACTTCACATTTTCAGAATTTTTTGTTTGACTTCTCTTTATTACTGGCATCATGTTCCCTCACACTACATAGACAAAAGAAATTTGGGACTTCCTGTGTAAATACCAGGAACCACACAAATACAGACAAAAGGAAGCAAAGATTTTATTGACATTTCTTTACACAGAACACAAGCTACACAAAATGCCACAATAAAGCATATGTAGAAAAATAGTAGAATCATATTGGCACTGATGACTATTCATTATTATTATCATCTTATTATACAGGTTTCATCATAACCATAATAAATAAGCATTAAAATTTCACAGTGGCATTATAAGCTTTACATTCATGATCTTGTTTATACAAGGGACCATGTCAGGTTTCTTCACTTCTTTTTTTTTTTTTTTTTTTTTTTGTATGATCATGATTCTAAGTAGTAGATTTAAAAATTAAAAGCCCTTTCCCTTAACCTATAAGGATCTGTCCACATTAATCCATTGACTTGATCCCTTGAAGAGGTCTGCATTTGTCTAAATAGACATTACTTCTAAAACATAATTGACCAATTTGAAAATTGGCCTTAGAAAGAACCCAGGATATTTGTTATCTTCTGGTGGTCCAACTGTGAGATGCCATGAATGCTACTGGCTGCCATTCAGCAAGATCCTTAGGAGGTATAAACTGCTTTATCAGGTTAACCCACTTGGGGATCTGGCCCATTATAACAAAAGTGCATTTGAGCAGCATTTCTCAGGATCAGACCTTTAGTCAAGACTTTGTGGATGCTGTTGAGTCAGAACATACATTTCAAGAAAATTGATTTGTGTCTGCATTTTCCCTAAAATGTCACGGAACTGACTCAACTTCATTTGTTCCCACTTTGTGAGATCAGTTTGGGTTTTTGATATATCTTACTTAAATCTTGACAGACGCAGTTAAAGAAAATTGAAGTGTATGGCAGTTGACAAATGTTCATTAGGGAAAGGAAAGTAAATTAGAGTGAGGCAGAACAGAACACATGTTGTAGATCTTCTTAAAAAGAGTCTTCTTAAAAATAAACAAAGAAACGGTACAGATTTTCCAAGCTCACAGACTCTAATTATTGCCTCTTCTGTCTGATTTGAAATACAATTTGTGAGAAGCATAACTGCCTCAATCAAATGTAATAATATATCATTTAAAAATACAACCTCTAGTGTCACATGACAGAATCAGTTGTACTCATATTCAGACCACAGAAATGGTTATACTTTAAAATACCATAGATTAGTCATCTGCAAAGTTCAAACTCAGTATAAAGTTACTGTCTTTAGACCCAAATTTGCAGAAGGTTGTACATGCATCACTTATATCATGCATATTGCTCACCCTGAACAACCAGCCTTAAAGGAAATACTTGGAGAACAATATATTTCTGATGCATTGCTTTGCATCCTGTGTGTACAAACATGGACACATTGTCCAATGATAGTATAACACATCCACTATGCATGGGTACAAACAGTTATTAAGTCCAAGGGTCAGCCTCTTCATTTGTTTGTCTGTTTCTTTGTTTTGAAATTGAACTGCTTGATGATGAATTTATCGCTTGAAATTCAGCCCAGTATTATTTATGTCAGTTGTTTATTTTAAAATATGTATTTATTTTTAGAATATTCTAACCTTGTCCTTGTTAACTAAGAAATGTAAAAGTATACTTAAAGAAAACTACTTTCAGAGCTAATCACTTAGAGGAAAAAGGAGGGGGTTAGTACTAAGGGTTATTATCTTGTTAATTAGTATAGTAAATAAAACATAATTTTTTCATAACATATAATAGGGATCTTCACAGAACTGTGATTCTGTCCAGCAAATTCTATTCCACATGTCTGTTGAGGAACAGTAAAGATCCAATTTTAGGTGTTGCCATTGAGCTGAGAAATAATCCAGCAATGTAAGGTGTTCCACTTGAATAGATACTGTACAGTTGAGAAGTTATTTCTGGTGACCTTGCTAACCTTAACTATTAAAAAGTTACAGGCTGATTTTGAGGGTTACAATTTTAATAAACTTGAAAAAGGAGTTTCATCACGTTTTCCAAGACTCTCAAACCAACATAATGGTTCCAACATCAAAAATAGCAATTGCCTATGTACATCACATACAAGGAAAGATATGGCAAGCAAGACCTGCCTCATGGATGTGCTTTGTTTGGAATATGAACGCTATTTTTCTGATTTTAAGCACCTGAGTGTGAGATTTGCAGCAAGAAATAGAGAGATAGGATGAGGCAGAGATCCACTTACTCCTGTGAATTGCCTAAAAACTTGTTACATGTTCCTTCTAAGGAAAACAGAAAGTTCTCCAGCAAGCAAGTCCTCCCAACTAAGGGTTTGATAAAGGTAATTCTGATTATAGGGAAAATTACATTTTCTGATATCTTAGATGCTGCCACTAATTATCCAAACATAAATGGGAAGATGGAGATGTAATGTCAGATTTAAAAAAAATAATAATACTTGAGTATATGTTAACAGATTTAAGCAGATGATAGAGGCCTAGTAAGACAAGTACGTAAGACTAGGGTTAAAAAAAACTTCAGTACTAAATGGATTCATTACTGAAGTCAATGAAGCCCAGTCCTGGGTTAATCTGAACCATTAAACTGCTCGTCATTTAAGAAAGCTTGCTATTAAAAGTTGAATACAAGCAACAAAACATAGATATGGATTTCAGTTTATCTCTGAACTTTGTGTTTAGGAATATGCTCTTTTATTTTGATTTTGGATCAATATTTCTCCCAAACATACAAAAATATTATAGGATGATTTATCCTGCATCTTTGTCTTTTATCAGAGCTACATCCAGATTCTTACTTAACTGGATAATCCTAAAAGTCATGGGACAAATTACCAGTATTGCTTCTTTCTTGGTAAATCAGCGAAAAATGAACCTCGAAAACACTATCAGTGATGTGATTTATTTATTTTTTTCAAGACATTTGCAAAGGAGTACCCTGGTTTGTCTAGACTGATCTCCTTCATACTTCATAAGGAGATTTAACAGCAGAAGAAGGAAATAGCTAATTCCCCAGACTGTATGAATAACCAAATACACACAAGGCTAAAATTAGCAAGCAGAATTGTAAAGCTGATAAATTACTGGTCCATCAGCTTAAAAATAAATGCTTGGTTGAAGAGGAGGGATGTCAAGAAAAATTTAAAAATGGTGACAAGCTTCCTGTCTCAGAAGATAGGGCAGCTGGGTTTGACATTACATTGACCTTGGAGCCATGGAGTTGGTAGATAACACCCACCAAATTCAAGACTGCTTAGATAAGATTAGTCAATGAATGGTCTGCCAAGAGGCTGACATTGTCCAAACCAATCTCTCTCCTCCAATGAGGTGGAGGAAGCCAGCAAACTGCTCTTTCACAGGAGCTCTGGAAGATAACCAAAATGTTCCTCCAAAAAGGAATAGAAACCTATGAAATTCAAGTCACCACGAGCTTCAAAGTAAGGTATGCTATACATGTACATACTCTACATATGGGAACATACATTCATTACATATAAGATTATAACATACATTACATCGGGGAAAGGACACTTTCTATATGCATAGGGATGTTAGGCATACCACACAAATGGTATGTGGGGCATACAAGACCTATTTTTTTATCATTTTTACTGAAAGTGATGATATATCTCAGATCAAAAAGATTCCCCTTATCTCTTCCTCAACCTTTGTAGTGCATGTAGCTGCATATATGGTAGTGTATCAGAAATGCCTTGACATCTTTCCACCATTAGGAGTAATGCAGGTAATGTTATCCACATTACAAAGAAAAAAGTACGAGTGAGTGAGCATTTCTTCTGAATTGGGACAAGTAGATTTCTACTAGTACTTTAGCATTCAGGAAGGAATTAAAAGCTTCTTAAATTAATTGACAGAAACTACTACAAAAATTGAAATATTGGACCTCTTGGCTATTCTATTTATTAGACTAACCACATGTATAGGTAATGGAGAAAAGTGAGACCATCACAGTATTTGAACCACCCACTCAAAAAATAAATAAATAAAACATAAAAAATTGCTTGAGGCTGGACTTCTTCATAGACTTTGGGGAGGTTTGTTTGCTAATATGGAAAAGCTATTTGTGTTTGCAGTTGATAGCTCTCAAAGTCTGAACTGCATGCCAGACTCAGTAAGAATAGTCCTATTTACTACGTCACAGTTTCACATTTTCAGAAGCAGAAGCTACTTGAAGATGTACAGCTCCATGCATATACCTAATGGACTTCTGGCACGTTTATCTACTTGTGGGAATCAGTTTTGCACAGAAGTGATTAGTTTTCTGCACAGATAATAGGATCTTCCAGTGTTTTGGGTAGAAGTAGAGTGGAATTCACAAAAGCAGATAAATCAAGTTTCAAGGTTGTAATAGGAGTTAATTCAGTTTGACCTTTTTCATAAGCAGAGCTTATACATATTTATTCTTTATGCCTCTTAACCTATGAAGGGAAGGCCTGACTCACCTGCATTTAAAGCAGCTATACAATGATTAAACTGTTTTCATAAGCATTTCAATTCAGTGCATTGACTTCTGTTAGGGAACTGCACATGTATTATATAGTCTTAAAAAAGAAAAGAAACAGCAGCAGCATCTATTTCAGACCACAACCTGTTGGGAAGCAACATGCCATGGACCTGATGATCAAAAGGTAAGAGAACATACCTGTCACTCATGCCAGTGTGAACAAGACTTACATTAGGCTCTATGTATTGTTATTTGTGCCTGAAGATTACCAATGACCGTAAAATAAAAATATGGAAAACCAGGAGGGAAGCCATTAGCATCATTGTGGGTGTTCCAGGGGTGTAATGTAGTCCCACATGTATTGTGTGCTGAAAGAGAGGCCCACCAATGGTGGTGGTGTGACACAGGTCACAACTCTTTGCCCTTGCTGGTGTAACTACTTCAACCAAGATCAAGGATCAAAGGATCAAGAAGTAAAGATGAACTCACAGGGGGATGCAATCTACACGTTTACAAATTCTGGCAACAGGAGGACAGCTCCAGCTCCAGCTGTCCAGATTAGGACCTGAGATAGGAAGAGGATGTGATGAGAGTTGATTGCCAGTGACTCCCTCCTTCCCAGGGCAAAGGCACCAGTCAGGACCAGAGCTGCTATCCAATGGACTTTCCTAATACCTGGAGGCAGATCCATAACAGTGCAGAAAGACTGCATAAGACCCTTCTGACTATTTCCTCTAACTGCTCAACTATGTGGACAAGACCAGGGTTAATCTTGAGAATACTAAAGGTGTTTGGGCACTTGGACGGTGCTGTAGCTTTGTATGAAGGCAAGGACTGAATGATGAAGAGAAAAGGAATTCATGGGAGCTGTAGGAAAAAAAAAAAAAAAAAAAAGGCAGGAGATGTAATCAGATAATGGAAAAGTGACTGTACAAATGGGCAAGACAGAATAGTAGCTTGGGGCCATTTAGGCTACTCAAGAAATCGCAAGTTTTGGGAACCATAGTCAAAGAACAGAGCAAGAGGGACAATCTTGCTGTGGTCACAACATTTGATTCAAAAGAGAGTGGTAAATAAATATTGAAGATTGAGCTAGGAATTGACAGTTACTTAACAGCATTCAATATCAAAACTGCTGAGTATATGTACTGAAATAAAACACTCTTAGAGAGCTCTCTATGAACATGACCTTTAGGCTCCAAATAACCAGCAGGAGTGAAATATCATGGTCTGTTCTGATGATCATTTTCAAATGGAAATTTAAGTCCATAAAGAAAATAATCTCTCAGTTAGGCTGGCACATATTGGCATGCTGAGACCACTGTAGAAGTGCCCCATGACTATTCAATGTATATAATGTTTCATGGGATATTTACGTAAACTTTCACAAGGGTCTAACTCTGTTAGAAGTACTTATTTTCTTCTTGCATCACCACTTAGCTACTTCAAATGCAGCAGTAGAAAGGAAGAGATCTTCTTTTCTTAACTTGCCGAAAGCAACAGAGGAACCTACAAATTCTAATGAAAGCTTTGGCCTGAATTCCCAGTTTTCACATAATCTTGTGATAGCTTTCTCTTTCAAGCTTGGCACTTCTCTAGCAAGGAAATGCTGAAGAGGATTGGTCAGTTGATACTTAGGATGTGCTTTGAAGTAAAGTAGCACTCAGCATTTGTACTAGTAATTTCCAAGGCTCTGTGCTAAGGTTTCAAGCCTTTAAGATACAATCCTTGAAAGCTAAGCAATTTCAGCTTCCACTTTTGTCAGTGGAAAGACTTGATTTTAAAAACATATTAACAGTTTTGTTAAAGAGAAATTGGCACCATTGGAGGCTGGGAAAGACACATTTTCAGTCCAACTTTAAAGGAACCTGTTTGTCTCTTCAGTGCTTGCTTATGATCCAACTGTACTAGTCCAAATTCACACCTAATTACGAAAAACAGATCAGTTTTCCAACCAGTCCACCAGTGTCGGTCCTCTACATTATGCCAACACCTTAGGGACCCAAAAATGAGCCTTACAATAAATTAGTGAAGAGAGGCAAGTGACTCTGAAGGCCACCAAAGGAGAAAACAGGAGCACTCCTTCAGAGTACTTACCTCTCTTCATTGACTACAGTAAGAACTTAGACACTTCCTTTAGTTGAACAAAGTAATTTTGAAACTAATTTTTAAGCACAAATTAGGTAATAAAAATAAACAGGCTAATTTCTACTCTACAAGCAGAAACATCTCTAGAGGTTTCTCCAGGTTTTGTGAAGGGCAGTCAGCAATTACTAAGAGATTAAGAAACAGACTCTTGAAGATCCTTAAGACTGCCGCAGGAGGAGCTAGACCCTTTTTGTCCTTCACCTACTCACATTTAGTCAATACTGCAATGTCTTTCCATTTGTATTCAAGAAATAATTCTTCTGTTTCAAAAGAGATTAAACCCTTATAAAACAGAGTTCAGTAGTCTCATTCTAAGTACTTTGTCAATAAAATTGGTGAGATTTTAAATATTCTTTCTTCCAGAATTACTGTGCTATTTCAACCTAGATAACTGTGAAACTGAAAAGGAGATAGCTTCAAAGGCAAGTGTACAGTAGGTACAGTAGGCTTTATTAAGGCCTTTGGAGTGGGGATGGATTCCCATAAGATTTCCAGTGGGAAATCGGTGGGGGACTCCCACTGATATTTTGAAATTTTGAAATTTTGGTGTGGTGGCCTCATCTGATCAAGCTTAGGTATCTAGAAAGTAGACGACAAAATCTGGTATCCTGCATAGTCAGTGGAGAAAACAGGCATAAAGAAAAATAGAACAGACAAATAAAACGGATCTGACAAAGCACACCCTAAAAGTGTATCTTTCCTTCCACTGACCCTAAAAGTCTCTCCTACCAGGTCACAAAATTACTTCTATACCATAATTATCTAAGGTTAAGTGTGATGATACTACTCTGTGTGGAGGTTTTCAATTACTTGTAAGGTAATTTACCATGGCCTGTGCATCTTCCTTGAAAGAATTTTCTCATATAGCCCATACCTCATATTTAACACTGTCAAACCTTACTAGACAAGTTAATTTTACCAGTTGGAGTCAGGAGGTCTACCATGCTGGTTTTAAGACATCACACCCAGGTGCTCAGAAACAACCCTGCATTGTCTTCTGTGTTTTATCTTATCTAGAGAAAAGACACAAAGAAGTGGATGGAGTTTCACTTCAAATACAAGCACGTTCTCCATTCTGTCCAACCTCTTGAAAAAATGTCTTCTTGTGAATGTATGAGCTTCACTTAAGAAATTAAGCACAGCCTCCATGGATATACCAAAACAAGCGGAGATTGTAAAGTTTGAAGGGAAATCCTTGTATCAATACTGAAAATGCAATTAAATCCATTTAAAGTGACTTTATGTGACAGGCCAATACATTAAAATTCCAAAACACAGAAACACAAAAGCTTACTGTGCAGTTATTTTGATATCTCCTATGAAGATAATTCTAATATTATATTTCTCTCCATATAAATCAATATATAAAAAACTTCTAAAAATGATTCCATGTTGATTGCTATATTTTGATGAAGTGCAACCACTCAGATGTTATTTACATTATAATGACAATGAGGATTTCTTTGCAATATAGTCTATACCATTAGAGAAGATTTACTATATTCTGTGTCATTATCAAGGCAATATCCCATTAAAAAGCATAAAAGAAAGGGAGACTATTCTGAGAACCTCAAAATGAATGCTAAGCTAGACAGTTATTGCCAATATATCCCACAACGTTCTGGCAGCATAAGGAAGATAAAATCTGTGTCATATCATTTCACAGGAATGACATCTCCCAGATTTTTCTGAGGCTCTATAGAAGCTCTCTATCACACCCTCTAAGGAGCAAGTTGAATGAACCTAATCCAACTCCACTGAAATCAGACTCTAAGCTGTGGAAGAACAGTATATGGACAGATACATGGACATTTTTAGGTATGTTTGTCCATAAGTCACAGCACTGGTAGCAGTGTACAGTGTGAAACTGAACGTACCAAAAGGGCTACCAATTTCTGCAGTAATACAAAAGAGACTTTTTCACATTTCCCCTCTTCCACACGTACATAAATAGAAGGCTAGGAATGCCGTCTAATGTACAAGGCAAGGCAAGAAACCACCTGTATGATTTTAAGAAGCACTACACCAGTATGTTGTCATATCCATTATATTCATGATTAAAAACATGGAATGTTTGACCTTGAAATAAGCATACTTCTTTGTATGCATTGCAAATACACACACGCATTAGGTATGTATATATTTGTAAAATAGCCTCTCAACAATTTAAAAAATTTTCCATGTGCAGACTCCCAAAAATTTTCTAAAAGAGGAATAGATCGCCATATAAATCACTAAAGACTGCTAATGATTGGGGATTGCTTTTCTTTCTTGCTTTTCATGTACTCCTTAGAAGTCTGTGTCTGTGGATCAAAACCTCTGTACAAAAGCTTTACCTCCATGCCCCATTAAATTTAATAATGTGTAAACAATTCTCCAAGGAAGAAGTAAGCTGTGATGTGTAAGTTTAGTTGGCATTAAAATGTTGAGGTGGAACAGTGATAAAGACTTCTAAAACAATACGTGAGACCCAGAAATTCTTGATTCCTGACAAAGAATTTTTTTTTTAACTGGGCAAATCCATCTTTTAGCTTTAAATTGTCAATTTATTAAAGGAAAAAAAGAGAATAGTATCTACCTATTTACTTCAAGTATTGCAGAAATATTTAATGTTTACAAAACTAATTGCTATTGAAATGCACCATGTGACCACTTCTATTTAATTTCAGTGTCAACTCTGAAGAGCAGAAGATGATTTAAGGTGCAATATACCATTCTGTTTTCATGTTTTAGTCTTACCTTTTTGGATATTCCTTCTTATTCCTTTCTATTTCAAAACATGCCTTCATTATTAGACCACCCTAGTCCCAGTTTGTCAGCAACTCTTTTCTCGAACGAGTTCTTCAAAAGTTTTCCACTTTTCTTCTTTTAAACACAGCTAGTTTTACCTTCTGCATGTACAAATATTTCCCTGGGGTTGCAAAATTTTGGGTTTATTTTTTTAGTTATTTTATTTCAGAAATTTCCACTATCTTCATCCTAGTTCACTGATGACAGTCTTGAAACCTAGAACCAACTTTGTCACTTTTTATGTTCATTTGTTTTATTTTTTCACAAGATATAGAGGTCTGGTCACCTATGTTTTTAAAAAAATTACACTTGCTTTAAAAAATTACCTTCCTTCCAAACACAAATATTTGTGAAGAGTTATTTGCCTCCTTCTTTTTGAAAAACTGCTGTGACATTGAAAATTTATCAAAGTGGTATGAAAATGTATAGAAAGTTATTGAAATGTGTCATTTAAAATGCTGACAACATTTTGATTAAAAACAAATTAAAAATGCAAAAAAAAATACAAAAAGTGAAAAACGGGTTATTTTCTAAACCCCTGAAAAGAATTCTGATAACATTGTATGAATAAAATTTTAACTGTTTTGACCAGCTGTAACCATGTAATTAGGACTGGTTATAGCACTGCAAATGGGAATTAGTAAAACCCTATTATAGCATTACAGAGAAATCTAAAACATATGTATGGTTTTTAAGCTTTTGACAATCATTACTGCTCTAGGTCACCAACCTATTTTCATCTGATTGGTGTTTTTTAGGAGTATTACTGGCTAGATTTTGAATTTCAGACTAATGTATATATATATATATATATATATATGTACGTATAATACCTTGGGGTAAATGTATTTAGATACAAATTTAAAAGTGAAAATTGTACCTCTGAGGTTATAATAACAAGCACAGTAATGGTATTCTAGAAATGTAAACAGGAGAAGTGCTAACAGATGCCACTGATATTTCACAAGTAATCCAATAGATTCCCATCAGTCTGGCAGCTTTTAACTTGAAGAAGTCTTCCCAACTAAAAGTTTGTGTTGTGTTTTTTTTTTTTTAAGTCAAATATCAAGGTTTTTTTTTTAATTCTATATTAAATATTTTCCCCCCTTTCCATGATTTGAATGTGTGCATGTTACAAATGATTACCAATGATGGAACCATTTTCTTTTGAGAAACAGAAATGTTGAAATTGTCATAAATGTTTTTTAGACTTTTCATTTCATTGCAAAGGAGGTTTTAACCTGAGTTCATATACATTTGTTTCCTCTTGTATTAGCCACCTCAAAGTGCTACAGATGTATAGCTTTGTTAAAATGTAAATAAGCATTAAATCAAGAACAGACAAATTCCTGGGTTATTATCTGAGAGAAATGGTGATCATATTGGTCCCATCACATTTAGATAATATTAACCATCTTTATTCTGATTCTCTGCTTCAGAAGTAGTTCATATCTTTATGTGGACAAACAACATATAAACAGAAGAGGAATATTTATTTCTTCCAAAAGCACCAATATTTGGAAGCTTGAATGCCTTAAAGCCATAGCACTTTATTCTCTGAAACAGAAATGGAAATGGAGAGAGATTGAAAGTCCCACCTGATCTCATTTCTAACACTGCACGCTTTTGGCTAAGGGATTCTCCTCCACTCAGTGAAATGGTTTGCTTCTGCTACCCCATACTTCAGGCACTATTTGAAGTAGTTGAGTCCTGCCACAAGGAAAAACTTCTCCAGGAAAAGTTCAGAGTCCAGCACAGCAATGTGGGCTGCCCGGCCAATCAATGTGTTGGCGGTGTTTGGCAGAGCATGGAACACGTTGTGTCTGATCAAAGTGCAGTCCTTCGCCCCAATCAAAGGCTGGAGCAGGTTGTTAATCATTTCTGCATAAACAGGACCTGCAAAAGATTTTAAAAGTCACACGTACATGCCAAAACTGCCAGATCCCCTCTTTCTTTCCAGTATCATTTAATTACAGTCACAAAGAGAAGGAAAATGGAACAAATAACAACAAAATGCAAGTGAAAGCAGTTTATTTCAATGGTTTGCCATGTCCCAGGATGTTATTAATATAATGGAGCCACTGGCCACCTGGAGAGACCTAGTGAAGCTGCTAGCACGAAGAGTGGGACATGCCTCAGCATTTAGTTCCATTTCTCCTGAGGTGGAAAGAAACACACATTTCCTCCAGGGGAAGAGGTCTGGATTCATACTGCCTGTGAAGCTGAATGCAAAAGGATCAGGCAAGATATGTGTTTTTTTGTTTTGTTTGTTTGTTTGTTTTTCTGGGTAATCTAATGCAGGAAGAACATCATGCCTTTCTGCAGATAGTTTAGAAGTTTATAGGGCAACAACAGCAGCTCAGGAAGCTTGCAGTCATGGATGTAGGTCTGGCTTCTACTAGGCCAAAGATGTCCCTGAGGAAAAAAAACACCTGAAGAAAGAGTTAGAAAACTGCCTTTCAATTCATGTGTTAGGTAAGACAAAAAGATCCGTGTGAAGGCAACCATGTTGGCCCTTGGTCAGCAGAGAGAAGAGATCAACACCTCCTGCTTTTGCTTCCCCTGTTGAGGAAATCGTAGTCCTGCAATGAGGTAACCCCTCAGCCTTCTCTTCTCTAAACTGAACAAAACAAGTGACCTCAGCCACGTCTTGCCCTCTAGGCCCTATCTAGGCCCTACACTATCTTTATTGCCTTCCTTTGGACACTTTCTAATAATTTTATATCCTTTCTAAATTGTAGCTCCCAAAACTGCACACAGTACTCAAGGTGAGGCCACACCAACACACAGTAGAGTGGACTTCCCTTGACTATCTATCACTGTTGTGTTTGATGCACCCCAGGGTACAGTTGGCCCTTTTGGCTGCCAGGGCACACTGCCGACTCATATTGAACTTGCTGTTGACCAAATTCCCCAGATCCCTTTCTGCAGGACTACACTCCAGCCTCCTGTCCCCCGGTCTGTACATATAGACAAGTTTGCCCCTTCCCAAGTGCAAAATGTTGCATTTGCTCTTGTTATACTTGATATGTTTGGTGATTACCCAGCTCAATTTCTCAAGGTCTCTCTGCAAAGCCTCTCTACCCTCAAGGGGGTCAACAGCTTCTCCCAGTTTAGTATCTGCAAACTTACTCAAAACACCTTTAAGTTCTACATCCAAGTCATTTATGAAAACATTGAAAAGAATTGCCTACAATGGAACCTTGGGGAACCCCACTAGGGACTGGCTACCAGCTTCTAAGGACAACCTCCCTTTCTACATAACCATGTATCTGAAACTGGTATAAAATTACACTGAACATTATTTCTGGAAGTGGTATCCAACTGAAACCATGAAACATTTAATAAGCGAGGGAGACTGCAAATAACAAAGGCAGTATTTGGAACAATGCACAGACTAAACTCACAGGAAAGCTAGGCCTCTAATGGCATGAGTCCTGATGTACTTTGCAGATTTTATTACAAACCAGTATGATTTTACATCTTTCAAATTACCCGGCAATCATCCAAATACTACTGAAAACAAATGGAAAACCCATTGATTTTGGATGTGCTGAAAGAGATTTTGTTATGTGAGACAATACTAATAATTCAGTAGACTAAAGAGAAACATTGTTAGGAACTAGTTCTATTATCTCCACAATTTAAAAAAAATATTTACGGAGGCAAGAGCAATATGAAATCTTTGATTACAACCTGATTGAAACCTATTTTCATCAGACAAAGAGTATCTTTGAAATATTTTCTTGATTTCAGTCATGTCCTATGAGAGTAGAACACTTTCTTCCTTATCAAATAAGCATTTGAGTTTTCATCATGCTGATGAAAAGCCCTTCTGATTTACACAAAATCACAATTTCTCAACAGCTTTGTAAATATAGAACGGATCTTAAACTTACCTGTGTGTCTGTCTTTAAGAGCATTTTTGCACATTTCTATTCTTGCTGAATGGAAGGGTACATATCTGTCTTGGGGTGAGGCCACTAACACAACATTTTTAAAGTACTGAAGGCCTGTGGCAAACAAATTCATTAAATGCACTTATTACAGTGTTGAACAGCACAATCATATTCATGCTGAAATGCACTTTAAAATCTATTGTGAAAAACAAATGAAGAGTAATTAAAACACACAAAACAGAAATATTCACAAGAATAACTTAAAAACATTGCTGCTGCTTCTATGAACTATTTGTTACTTATCAATGCTCATACAAGTTAATTGTATATCAACAACAATAACAAGAACAACAAAAAAAGTGAGAACCGACTACGTTTCAAAGAGTAAATGATTAAAAACTTAATCTTGCAAATATTTATGCCTGTAAACATTGCAAATGCATGTACAGGATCACTGTAGTCCATGGGTGTACTTGCATGAGTAAATGTTCATAGAATTGGGGATCACATTCAAAAAAATAATACAACCAATTAGTAAAATAGCAAACAAAATATATAGAGAGAAGGAGAAGAGAAATCAGCTTCACCACTGTGATGTCATACTATCACATCAGTGTGGAAGGAGCCTTGGGATCCAGTCCTTGCATCCAGCAGTCCTTGGATAAATACACACTGATGGTACATGGACTGGAAACCAGGAATTCTCCCTCTTCCCTGGAAGTAATGGAGCCACCATTCGCTATGAAAAGACTCCTGCTACTTACTCTGTCTGAGGTCTCTTGAGCTCTAGATCACCCACATTCAGCAGAAGAGTAGGAGAATGGACACAGATAATCTACACTAACTCAGAGATTATTCTGTACATGGGAATGTTGTCGGTTTGACCTTCATCCTTCCCTTCTCCTTACAGAAAAGAGACCCAGAACAAAGCCCTTTGCTTTCTAGTGCTTAATAGAAAAGTTGACCATCACCACCATGAGGAGGAGCCCTGATAGCTGCCTCTACTAAGCCTGGCTGAAGCCATCATTTTCTTCCTGTGTAATCAAACCAATTGTGTTTGTGACTTCTCTGGGGTAAAATGTAAGAGGCATCAATGAGTTTTAACATAACTAAAATCTTATGTGAAGAGACTCAGTAGGGAGCAATGTCATTTTTTTTTTTTTCCTGAGACAAGCACATGAAACATTTAATGAAATTGAATAGTGGAAGGGATTTCTACTTTAAGAAAGTCAGAAATTGCTGGAGGCTCAAAGAGAGAGCAGGCAAAACACTGCAGCTTTGTAGGTACTCTCAACCAAATGTGTCCCTTTGTAGGTGTTCTTACCACTTTGGGGAGCAGAGTGCTAGAGTAAGGGCACCTCAATTCTGACTCATTGTGCTAGCTCATACATTTTAATATAGAATTTTACAATTTAAGATTTTTCTCCTAAGCATCTACCTGGATCATTTTAATTCACAGGCAACCTTTTTGATACTTTCTGTTTTTATAGAGACATCACCTTCATTTACAGTCTGCCAGATCTCCAGTCTATCAAGCTAACAGGCAACAAGTCACTTTAACTCACAGCATATACTTAGGAATTCTTGGCTTAGGAAGTAACAATGCGAGCTTCCTATGTAGAACCAATTTTATTTGAACATGACTGTTTTAAAGCAAGTATCCCACTGTGGTCCATAAAAATGGGAGCTAGAGAACCAAAGGAAAATTCAATTAAGGAAATTTAAATAATGCCAAGATATAACATCTTCCTGTTATTGATTAGGTCATGTATTGTGGTCAGAAAATTATGAAACAGCTCTGTCTGTCAGACCAAGTATTAAGTTGTACCTGTATTAAGATAGTATTTGTTTCCTATTAGCAACATAGCAGAGTAAGAGAAAAAAATTAAATATCAAGTAGTGACTGTGAGTGCATCCTTAGCACTAGTTTGCTTATGCACAATATTAAAATAACTTTTAGAAGAAAACATTTGTCTGAACAGAAGGATAATGCTTGCTTTCTTTTCTTAGGGAAAGTGTGATTTATTTCATTTATTCATAACAGACCAAGGAAGTGGTAAAATGATGTAGACACCATTTTTACAGCGTATGGCCATACATCTTTCTCTGTAGTACAGAGGTGCCACAATAGACATGAATAAAATTTGCTCTTCACCTCACAGCACCATATTTCCTAAAGACAAGAGATGTCGAACTTAAAAAAATATTAAAATAGGAAAAACAGTCTGCATCTAATAACATAAATTAAGTTATGGTGGCCTGTCAAGAATAGTGTTTCTTGCTTGAAGAATACAAAATTAGGTGTATATTTATTACAGCATGTAGGTCTTATTGGGCACTAACTGTTTGGCAACTACATCCACTGGTAATGGTGCAGATAAAAGGCAGATAAAACAGTTATTAGACAGGGCAGACCTTCTTGAAAGCAAGACATTTAAAGAAAGATCAATAATGAAATGCAGACTTTCTTTACCCCCTGGAATACATAGTATCTAGCACAATTCTTTGGAACATCCCCCAACGTTTACACAACATTAAGCCCTACTCACCTGTTTTTTGGCTGAGCTGGTAGAGGAAACACTTGCGCAAATCTGCATTGTCCCTGAAGGTCAATTGCAAAAGTGACCCTGATTTTTTCAACTTCTGCATGAGCCACAGACCTGGAATAAAATTGGTGTATATTTTTAGCCTTTTTTTCTGATTATCAAACAAGGGGATTGAAGTTGTGTGCCTATAATAATAAACTTGAAGAGATTACAGTACGGTTAGCACTGTAATTCAGTGTAAGTCTTTGTTTTCTCTTGTATTGTTAATAAACAAAGAGAAAAGTCTAAGGGTCTCTCTGGATTATCCAGTGTCATGGTAACATAAACGTTCAGGAAGGGTGAACATAGGGCCATTCATTTTCCATAGTACTGTAAGTGTTTTCTTCATAAAGAGAGATGCCTCTCTTTATTGGCAGTATAAAGAGAAGTGGACGAACACAGTGGAAGAAAGGTCATCTCTTGCTGCTCCACACCCCTGGATTTTCCACAATGCTGGACCATGTAGTAAGCCCTGAAAGCCTCTCTCACTGCTATTTTCTCTGAAGTCTTCAACAAATATTTGCCACAGGTACAGTGTATGTGTCACGTCGTCACAATTTACTGCTACCTCCACATGTTGCTCTCTCGTATACTCTGCCATGGACTGCAGTAATTCATAGCTTTCCCATTTAACTCTTACCTGTACTAACCAAAGTACTATTGTTGTAAAGTGTTCCCAGGTGAGGTCCAGAGAGGGACAGGAAGGTATGTAACTTGTTGAGGTAATAGCGAAACCTGGGGCGAGTTAGTACAGATCGGATGATGACATTACCAAGGGAATGTCCAATAAAACTGTTAGGAGAAACAGAATTATATTAACACAAAAGCCATCTGTATGTTATTTAAATTAAATGTAAAGGCAGCAAAAATTGCTCTTGAGAGAACTCTATCAGAGCTTTCAGTATCATCCTTTAGCTATCATTTTACATTTTGTTCAGCCTAGTGGATACTCTTCCAGCCATAACACATGTAAAACCTCAGCTCACTGACTTCAATGGCCTTTGACACAGGACACTTTTAAAAAAGCTAATTTCACAGAATGATGCTGATGACCACAAATAGTTACAGACAATTAACTATCAGAATGCTTACCTTATTCGGGATATGGAGAGGTTATACAACTGAATATGCTGAATAATTTCATCCAACAATCGGTCAGTCATTGTATCAAAATCAGCAAAAGTATCAGTCTAGTGTAAAAAGGATTGAGTAGGTGAATTCAAATATATTGCTCTTATTGAAGTATACATATATCATAGACTAACGTTATTTTCAAAGTAAGCTGCAATCACAAAATTAATAACTAGTCCAAATTTTCTTTGTACTTGCTCAACTGGGAAGAATTTTTCTCTGTTGCTTAGTCCTCCCAAAACAGAAGCCCTTTGAAAAAAGCCATAAAGTTTCATTTTCAGATTAATATCAAAATTATTTCAACTAAAATTGTTAACTTATTCTAGGCAAGTATTTTTTTTCTCACACAGCTTTAACAGTAACAACACTTGTCACTATCAGTCTTATGGCTCTCAGTATAGCCCATATGGAAATTCATTGTCTTCATTAAGCCCCCATGTAAGATAAGGCAAAATCTTTCATCGCGGAGGTTCTTTGACTCTATATTGTGCCTTTTAGCTTCAGGAATATAACCCATGCTTTCAATTTAGGACAGGAGTTACCTTGTGCTTTCCTTTGTAGGGTATGGAAATAGGGCCCTCTAGAAGACTGTATTTTAAGGGGATTACATTACCTTCTGTGGTTGCTTCTGTTTCTCTAGTGACTGTGCCTCTAATTTAGGCATAATTGGATAAATCTGGGCCTAAGGTTTATTAATAGTACGATTCATAGTGTCAGGCCGAGTGATTTCAGAGTCAAAAGTAAGGTTTTAAAGCAGCCTGACTTGACAAGGTTGAGAACTGCTTAGCCTCTCCAGGCACCGTACTCTGCGTGTGGAAGAAAAGCTTTTTATATTTTGGATTTAATGGATTACTATAATAAAATAGTTACAGCTTTATACACTACATATAGGTGATGTTGACACTACAGACACAATCACAAAATTATTAGGCCATCTTACTTAAATGCTGTGTGTTTGTTATTCAAGAATGTCAGTAAGATAACGAGTGCCAGAGAGGGACTTAAACAATTTGTTGCTTGCAACAGTAATGGCAGTTTTGATACAATAAAACTAATAATATATTGTCTAGTCTATACAATTGCAGACAGATCTTATTCAGAACTGTGTCATTTGGCACTCCAACAGGACTCTAAATCAAATTTGTAACTAATGAGATGCCACAAAATCATCAAATGTTGGAACAGCTATTCAGAGCAAGCATATCTAGTAATTAATGCTTTTGTAACACAACCCATCTTACTAATTGCAGCTCTTGCAAAGGAAAACAAGTATATTCACTTTGCAACACTGCCTTAAAATAAATGTTCTCCTATACTACAAACAGTCCAATAACCTCTTGCCTGTTTGTTTAGCCTGCATTGATAATTAACAATTTCCTCTTAGGCTCATTATCCCAAATCTTTCAGGTTGTTTAAAAGTGGAAGAATACCAGCCTGAGCATTAACCACAAGCAAAACACATAAAATGTCATATTTCACCTGGTTATACCTCCATTCTTCAGTATCATCTCAGCCTGACTGAGCTTGTCAAATATATTACAGATGAGTGCATAAAAATGTGGCTTAAATTTTATTCTGTAAAGCAAACTTCAGCTAAATGACTGATTCCATGGATCATTTTAAATGTGGTTCCCAGAGCAGGGAAAAAACTGTGACAGGATGTTTTAAAGCATCAAAACATTCATCAAAAGATATCGGTCCTATCCAGTTCTATGTGAACTTGCACACATTTCCATACTACAGGAGGACTGAAAGTTTCCATTATGGGTTCAATATAACAGTTAACAGAGATGTTGTAAGAGCTAATCCTTTCAGCCTTACAAAGCATCAGGAGAAACTTCGATGCAAGTCTGGTCTCCTCATTATTTCCATCTTGCTCACATTAACCATGCAGGTCCACTTCTGGCAGAGATGTACACTGAAAGGTGGCAAGTTCACAGACTAACAACAACTGGCCATTTCAGAATATAAAAGCTATTGAACAAAGAGAGTTTTGACTCTAGTTTCTTGGCTGCTCATAAATCAGAATAATGTTTTTGACTGGGCACTGGAAATCCTTATTCTATGCATAAAGGTGTCATAAATATGTGTTCATTGCGAAGCAGGCCATAGAATTCATTTCTGGTGTTCTGCCTAGGCTAGCAATGAATTGCTCTGGAAGACACTTATTTATCATTCAAGAAAATAAATCTCACAAGCCTTGCAACAGGAGAAACAATGGCTGATGCATCAAAAGCAACTGACAACACCTTCTGGATATTTCTCATCCTCCAGAGAATTTAACATTACTAAACCTGCTGCTTTCTGTCGGTGATGTGTTGTACAGCATCCAAAAGGCAGAGGCACCCAGCTGCTAAGTGTGCAAACTGAGAGGATAAATCAATTTGGTTTCTCTAAGGTTTAGTCCTATAAGTAATACACTGAACTTTGAGTTCAATGCGAGGAATCTTTCCTGGTGTGTTTGAATACCCTATCACCTCAGACAGGAACAGGCCTTTGAACTAAATCCTACATAAAATTCCCTAAATTCCTTAGTGCTTTTGCTTTATCCAGCTTCTGAAAGAGCCTTACTGAAGGTCCTTTTGCAGCAATGGCAACAGCTTGTAGGAGATCTAAATGAAGACAGAAATTATCTCTACATTACCTGATTTCGTTCAGACATTAGGAAGTCCAGTTTTCCACCAGGGAGTCCCAGTTCTATAAAAGTCTTTACCAGCCGTAGATCTGCACTGTTACCTGGAAACAGATGGCAATTTATAAGATGTGATTCAACAGGAATATATATATATATATATATATAAATTCAATTTAATAAATTTATCTTCTTATAGACCTTCTTATAAGCCTTGGCACCAGGGACCTCTTGTTAAATGCTGCTAAGGCAGCTCACTGCACCATATGATCATGCATTGAAACATCAGGAGAGCAAGAATACCCACAATATGTGCAAGGAGGGCTGGACCTCACATCATGCTGCTGCGCACTTCATATGCTCTCTAAAAAGTGGGAGGAGAAGGCAAAGATCAGGCCCAGAATAACTCTGTCCCTTAATTGCTGAACAATGTAGGTAAGACAAGGTGTCATCAAAAGGTTAACATCTGTCCTTCCCAATTTGCAGCTGGTGATACCCGAAGAAGACACTGCAGCTGTGCTGGGAACTTCAGCACATGTGCCTGGGGAATAAGGATGTGCCTTCATATGCACAGCAGCCTGCCTCTCCTCTCACCATTAAATCTGGTGCTAAAATGGTGTCAGTCTAGTAATATTTTACAAGACTAGCAGGGGGGTTAGAACTACATGATTTTCAAGGTCCCTTCCAATCTTTGCCATTCTATGATTCTATGATTTTGGGAGATGAACAAAATGCCCCAATTCCATATTAGGTAAATTCCAAGGTATTCTGAATTATTTTTTCTGGAAACAGAGGTACCTTCTCTTCATAAGAAACATATCACTGTCACTGGTGTATTGAATGGCAATGGTTCTTGCACAAACCAAGGAGAGTTTCACACTTTTCTGAGGCTCTGCCCTTCCTTCTCCATAGTCTCAAGGTTAATGCTTTCACCTTCCCCATTGAAGCCAATAGCTTATCAAGAGAAGTTTCAACTTTAATATATCTGTTTTCTGCTTAGAAAGCATGTATTTAAAATATTTCAGGCCAGGCTTCCTTTGTAGTGAATATTGATTTCAATTTTCCCACATTCTAAGTCGAGCCACTATCTATCCTATAATATCAGTTTATTTTGTTTAATAATGTCATCCCAGTGACATACTGCTAAACAACCAGATACCTCCAGAAAGACAAGAGGAACTACTGTAGTGTACTCTTACTGTATGCTGAAGGGATGATGTGATTTGGTGTAGAATTCTGTTTAATTAAAATAAAACAGAAAAACAAAACAAAACAAAACAGTGCAGCACCCATTTCATAAAGAAAATACTTAATATTTTCCTAGACCCTTTATTACAATGAACTGAATAACATAAAGGAAACTGAATACTTAGCTAAGATAAATGTTTTCCATAGACTCTCTGTTCTTTCCCACTTCCTGTAGAAATGCCTTTCTTTTGTTTTGTTTACACTTGAGTGTCTCTTACACATATCTATTCCTCTCGGTCTTACCATCCAACCCATGGACACAGACAACCAGGTGAATTCCATCTTCCAAATTTTCTTCCTCTTCCTCTGGTGGAAAATATGGGATATCAGATGCTAGTACAGATAAGTCACTGTACAGAAATCCTTCAATCTTCATCTCTTTTTTAAACTTTTCTTTGGCCTGATAAAAACTGGAGAATAGATTAATTAATCACAGTAGAACTGGGTGTCCAACAACAAACCCTCAAACTAGAAATAAGAAGGTTCTATTCTGATTGAGAGAAATCAATATGCAGGGAAAAAAACCTATTCCCAAACTGTTTGATGCCATACAGGGAATAGGTAAAAACCTTCTGTATGTCACACCTGCTACAGGAACACAAAGAACCTTCTGGCGGCCAAGAACTATGAGAATAAAATGCAGAATTTCAAAATTTGCATCTTATAAATGTCCTCAGACATACTGACACTGAAAAGCAAAATTATACCATCAGATACATTTACAGGCAGGTTGCTCTCCCCATTCCTCAGACAGCGGAGTTTAAGGGCACACCTCATTACAGAGATGACATATTTTGGTTTGGTTTGGTTTGGTTTGGTTTGGTTTGGTTTGGTTTGGTTTGGTTTGGTTGTTTGGGGTAGTCTTGAAAACATTTAGTGGCTAAGAGGAAAAGCAGCTCAGAGCTGAAAGAATTAAGATAACCCCTCCTCTGATGAAGGCCTAAAGTTTGACATATGAACTCACCTTGAAGCTACCCAAAGGTGAAAAACCCTTCAGTGGCTTTTTAAGTAGCAAAACTTATCCAGAGCTTTTAGGAATTCAAAATTGCAATATAAGTGTAGAATTAGAAAACTGGGATGGACCTGGCTAGGAGATATAAACCTTTAAACCTTGGGGGTAGCCTAAGGCCAATCAGTATGATGGTGAACAATTACTTACATCAACCCCACTGACATTAAAGGGACTCAAGAACAAAAAATCTAACATTCTGGCCATGGACCTAGAGGCCCTGAATTCATCAATGCATCAATACATGATTAAGTATTCTGCTTCACAAAGAAGGAATACATTTTGTGCTTATATCAAGCAGGATTTACAGCAGGGTTCATCAAATGAACCTCAAGATGTTAAAAAATAAAAAATGAAAGTAAAACTTAGGTCCCAAATGAATGCACATGCAGAGAACCAACATGGGTGAATGGGTTGAGAAATTCCCATGCTACCATTTTCCTTCAGCACAGCAGAGACACAAAAAATATAACAAAATTATATATTTACTAGCATGTCAGTCTGTGGCATAGGCCACTGTAAAATCAAGACCATGATGTGGCATTTTTTTCATGGGCTAAGAAACAAGAGAAAAACAAACAAACAAACAAAAACACCTCTTCTCCAGGTACCCAGTATGCTTACTCTCCTGTTTTCCAGTTTCACTGAAGCTGATGCCCTGCCAACCAATCTGTGTACCCCTTTTATAGTTTCACTAATGAGTAAAATTAAGCAGAAAAGAAAAACAAGCTATGACACTGTTATAGTGAAGCAAATATCTGGGATCAATATCCACATCTTGGTAATGTGACTTTTTGATGGAATGCCAAATTTTAAAGACTATTTAGACACCTAAATCCCACTTATTTCCATGAGGATTAAGGACCTAATAATCTTTAAAGATCTCAGTTCTCCGTGTTTTGGTTCTTCCTGTCTACTTAGATTATTTATTGTGTATAAACCATATGTCTATTTGGATAACTTATACTGTAATTCCAGCAACTGTATGCAAACTTTCATTATGCTCTGAACTTTGTCAGGGTCTCTTGGCATCACTGCAACATTAATTAAAAGTAATTAGACATTCTTACTTCAGCATCCTTTCATTGGCCTCTTCATCCACCTCATTTGAGTTAGAAGAAACAACTCCAAAGGAGCCTAGAGGCTGTCGTGTGATGGGGAACACAGCCTGCTTTGCAGAGAAGCCGACCATCGCAGGGGTCTCTTTGAGCACAGAAGAAAAGGGAAGACATGTGGCCGTGCAAGAGACAGAGAGGTTAACCACATCAACAGCCTTTCTGCTTTCCAGTGCTACCCCCTCTGTCGTCACCGAATGAAACCCAGTGCCATTAGCAACAAGTTTATGGTCTTGGCTGTCAGGTTCCTGAGGATATTCATCCTGGTAGGATCCTGAAGCAGGGTCTGCTGAGGCAGGTGAGTCATTGAGCTCAATTTCTTGTAACCCCTGCATTTCTGTGTACACCAGCTGGCTCTCATCAGCAAGAGACCTACTGCATTCTCCTTGCATTGAGACAAATTCTGTTGAAGTCTCTGAAGTAGCTGAAACAGGATCACAAGCATCTGGTAACACATTTATGCTTTGTGAGAAACTCTCCTCTCCTGTTACTCTGATATCGGTGTAAAAGCCTTGTTCTATTTCAAAACTGTCAGGCTTAGGTTTATCCTTTGGATCCTTGATGCATGCATCAAACTCTTCTGTACTTTTGTCCAAGTAATTATTAGCCCTTGGTGTTTTTAAGCTGCACTCACCATTGCTCTCCAGTGACTGGCATTCAGAGATGTTATCTCTGAGTGACTTTGGACATGCAGGTGGTTTTGCACATTCCAAACTACAGTAGGTCTCTGAAAGACTTTCCTCTGCCTCCTCCTTGTGTAATTCCATATGACCACTACTGTGTTTGGCAGTGGGTATGGGATGTCCTTTTGGTTCTAGCTGTCCACTTTCAGTGGTGATATGACACCCAGAGAAGTCCATGATTAATTGCCTATCTTCGTCCTCTGTTTCCATGCAACTTTTTAAATATCCTTCTGAGTCTCCTGAGGTTGCTTCGCTGTGTTTGGATATATCCACCTCCTCCACAGGCTCTTCTGGGCTACTGATCTGAGGAGCTGAAACAGACTTGGTCAGTTTGGTAAGCTCCACTTCTCTCTCCTCTTCTTCAAAGGGCAAAGAGCTAATGGATGTGAGTGATGCTTGGATTCCACTGGGCAAGCTGGTATTGCTTTCTGTGTGGCCACCCTCCAAGGAATTTCGGTGGATGGCGTGTCTCCGTACCAAATGGTGCAGGATCTCTCGATCACTGGGCAGCTCCAGAGCCCGGCTACGAGCATCAGACCATGCCACTGAGCTTGGTTCACTTTCAATGCCTGAATCAGATATTATAGATGAGGATCTCTTTATAACTCCTGACATCAGGGTAAATTCTTCACACTCTTCAGTTCGTTGCTCCTTTGCGAACAGTTTCACTTCCAAGCTGTGGGCAGGCAAAGCTTTCAAAACAGGCAGCAGAGTCTTATTGTCTGTATCTGCTGTTTTTTCAAGACTGGTTAACTCACTCAGTGCAAGCTCAGAAGTGAAATTATTCTCAGGATGACCAGATTCAGCTGTTTTTTTTATTTCAGACCTGTCTTCCAAGCTATCAGTTCCACATGCTTCACACTCATACTGCGCACTGACAATTAACACGGGCTCACTTTTGTGGGTATCGTTATTGCTAGGTTTCATGTCTCCAGAGGTAACATCTGCTGCAAGTCTATTGTCTTTTAATAAAACTTCTTTACATGTTTTAAATTCCTCTGATGTGCATTCTGTATTGCCTGGCTCTGAGTCAGTAGTTTCCTTACTTGAAACAAAAATATTTTCAGGTTTCCTTTGGCCTTCTTTGTTCAATGTACATACCTGAGATGTGGAGTGTGGGTTTAAACCCTTTGCTGCATGAGCAGCACCTTCAGTACCACTGTACAAGCAGGACAGATTCCCATTTATCCTGTCTGTGTGTATTAGCAGAGTACCTTTTCCAAAGTCCCCTTTTGTTACTGCAGTGGTATCATTTGATGAAAAATCTTCCTTGTCTATTACATCCATTTGCGTATGTTCAGGAACCTCAAAATCTGGGAAAACATCCAAATTCTGATCTGAAAGGAAGAAAAAAAAAAGAAGTGGTATCTGCAAGAACATGACATATTATCCCAATGTGATGTAGGACTTGGAAAAGTGATTGTAAGGCCTAGAGAAGTATGTATATTTATGTTGTAAATTATCTCTACATTATTTATTATGTTAAGAATTATCTCTACATTAGAGTTATATTACAAATACAAATGACACAGGGCATTTAATTAGAATTATACTCAGTAAACAGTTACAGTTAGGTGAAAAAAAAAATCTTTCCTCTGTACAACTGTATTTATACTGCTAGTTTCTAGAATTGGTAAATCAAAGCTGGCATTTTTTTGCACTCCTGCTGTTGTACCACATTGTATGTAGAGTAGATCTTGCTTGTGAATCAGTTTAATATGGAGTTTCATGGTTTAAATATCTGTAATTGTTACTGTCAAAATTTAGCGAGTATGATAGCTCTGGAAATGGCCACGGGTCATCTTTACTGGGCTATGCTTACTTATGATACTATCTCTCTGCTACACTTAACAATTGTTGAAAAGGGAAGCAAGGGCTATGAGGTTTTACTATATGCTTGAAGAACTAAGTATTTTTTCTTAATGAAAAATCCAGTTTGGGTACTCTAGAGGATTTAAAAAAAAAAAAAAAAAAAAAAAAAAAAAAAAAAAAGCTAGGCTTAGCTTAGCTTAGTTAGGCTTCCCACAAATTTTATTTTTTTGTTGTTGTTCTGACTCTTCTTAACACTAGATGTCACTCTGAGTATGAAGTTAGTTGCTGTAATAAAAATGGTTTTGCTTTCTTTCTAGGTTTTGCCTCCAGTCCTTACAACTAAACATCTTACTTGGAAGATGAAAACTATGAAGTTACAGGAAATACTCTAAAGTTCACTTGGAGAGAAAACAGAGGATTCAGTTATATTTTACAGTGGGTTGTGCTTTGATCCAAGGCAGAGCCAGCACAAGTTATATAGGATCATTTACCTTCAGCTGGGGAAGTGAACCTCCTCAGCTCAAGCTGTCTCATGTACCTTGGGGTGTTTCACTCACCTTTGCAAGGCAAATCCATATACCTGTCTTCAAAAATAACTGGAAGTGTGTTCCAGTCCCCATCTATGTCGAGGCATTCCGCTGGCAGCGGGGGCATGCTGGTGAAGTACTCTGAATTACGAATTTCTGTAGAAATCTGTCCGTGACTTTGGATCCTGGCAGCAAAGGACAAAAGAAATTGAGTATCCGAATGGTTACCATGCTTTTTCTCAGTCACTGCAAGCCAGGCAGCAAAGGCAGATGTGTAGACAATTACTATATGTGTCTGCCCTTCAGCTGATATGGGGCAATACCATTTAATGCCTGTATTTAACACCCTCAGTGATGGGACAGGGTGCACTGCAGCAGGTTTGCAGATAACACTGAGATGGGCAGGCAGATATCTCATGAAGTTCAGTAAAGACAAACGCCAAGGTGTGCATGGACAATGGCACAATCCCCTGCAGCAGGGCAGGCTGGAAGTCATCTAGGCAATAGGAAGTTCCTTGTGGGAAGATATGTTTTTTCCCCTCTCTTTATCACTGCTACAACCCATCTGCCACACTACCTGCAATATAATGTCCTCTGCTGCTCATTCATTCAGAAATTCCCTCCAAGTTGCAATAGCTCCCAGTCTGTCGCACCATGGACTGGATGTTGCAGAGCTAGCCCTGAGACTAAAACTCACTATCTATAATCTTCAAATTACAAAATGTCTGTCAATGCCAGTTCAGGTAAAATGTTAACAAATTAGTCCACATCTGGCTGAATTTATGGAGTAGAATAAAGACCACCGTGGTATGCTGAAGGATATCACACAAAGGAGATGAGTTCATTACACCAGGAGCATTGCACTCAGAAGACATGATAACAAAAGAACAGTCACATGACCAGAACAAAAAGTACATCTGCACAAAGCTGTTAGAAATAAGATGGAGTTTTCATCATTTGAATTTGTCTTTAGCTAACCTAAGCCAGCTGAAGGAATGTACTAAGACTTTGCTGCACAGCATTCAGAGTAGATATAAAGACATACAACCCCTCAACAATTCTACCAGGCAAATTGTGTATAGCAAGAACTGCTTCTTTCTATGAGCATGTAAAATATCTGACACAGAGCAGTCCAGTAGTATTTTCCACTGCACCATGCTGATAAGATTAAGGACAAAGACACCAAGGTTTCTGTTTTGATAGAAGAGCACTGAAGGTGGTTGAAAACTATGAGTGGTATAAACAGACAAAGGAAAAAGTAGATTTGAGGGAACAGAGCTTCAGGTTCTGTTCCACACTCAGTAGTACTTCTAGTGTAATAACAATCATCTGTGTCCATAACAGATGTTTAAAACAAATAACATGAATTATTTGGATATCACAACAAATACTGTGAGTATTGTGGACTGTGGATAACTTTAGGCATACTCAATTACTGACTGGGGGATGGTAGGAGAAGACAGAGACAGTGTGTTTGAAAGGAGTACTCAGTGCTTGCAGAACATGTCCTATGAGTTGATTTCTCTTTCTGATAGAGATTTCTTTGCACAGTCCCTCAATGCAAAACCTCTTTCTTTATTGGAAAACACTCCTGCTGCTCCATGACTCATTGCTGTCAGCCCATGGGTCACTGCAGATGGCTGAGACTGGACCCCTCCACTGGCTTTCTCATCAGGAAAAGAGGTCTGTTGCTCTGACTGTTCCAAGGGTTTCAAAACCCAGGTGCAGGAAGCAATAATCAAAAATGTCTTTGACCAGAACAGCGAGGAACAAGGCCAAGAAGGACACATGGTAGGCCCTCTATCTTGCTTATGCCAGTCCTCAGAGCAGTGTGGTATCTCACACACTTCTGGAAGATCTAAGGCATATTGGTTCAGCTACTGCTTGTTGGTAGAACTAGAATAGCTGTTCTGTTCCATCTTTTTGCACATGTAAAATGCTACCTGGATTTCATCAAGGAATGTTACATTAAGCTGGCACAGGGATGTGGGTTTGGCTAACATAAATACATTATCCTAAGGAATAAATAGGGAGGAAGCAAGTTTTTTGTAGACAGTTGGATGAAGGTAATTCTGGACAGCTACCACAGGACAGCACAGTGATAATATTTTTGATTATCATTGGCGGGAGTCAGGTAATCACCTTGTGATAGTTAACTGGAAGAAACACTCTTTATACATTATGAAGCAAAACTTAACAAATTTGTAATTCAATTGGTCTGTCCTCATGCCAGCACAGAAGATTCCTATATCCATACACAAAAAACCTTGTGCAAACCAGCATGCTGGCTTCAACTTCAGAACATAATTGTTGTTGTCTATCATTTGCTCTTACTAGCTATTTTTTTCTCAAAGATAGGCGAGTCATTGATTGCTAAAGCATGAATCAGACAGAAGTCACAAACAGCTAGCTGCTCAGTCTTGCCTGCAGCAACACCTGGGAATTTGGAGTTAAGCCCTAGCACCATAACAAAGTTCTCGCTGACATACTAATAAACAGCATTGGTGTTTATACTAAAGGCCACGTGTAAAAATCATAAGTAAACTTGCTTTGAGACCAGTTCCTGGCAAAAGAAAAATGAATCATTAATGATAGGTGTAGGAAAAAATATTTTTTTTCTGCAAAGTGTTGGGAGGCTATGTCACCTGCTAGAGCCACCTGCTGTGTGATATCCAACCTATTGGAAACTGTACTTCCTATTCTACTTGAGCAGTCAAGTACTCGCCACGCATGTAGGTGCATGACCTAACAGAATTCACAACCACAGTATGGGAGGCAAAAAAAAAAAACCACTCATCTGGTAACAAGGAAGAAATAACTGGGGGAAAAGCCTGCTCATGTGTGAGTTGTTTGTACAGCACCCAGCACACGAAGAGCTGATCTCATCTGAATCTTCTTTGAACACAATTAATACTCCCTGCTGGCACCTCTCAACACTAATAATACTGTGGGAGCCAAGATTCTGCTTTCCTAACTGCACCATCTAGCACAACCAAAAGGAAAACAGGACACTGCCATGAGGCCTGTATATACCGAATTTACCTCACAGATCAACTTTTAGCATTTGCAAGCTATTTTATTTTTTTGTACTCTATCTCCTTGATAATCACTGAGGAAAATTATGCTTATCTGTAGGAAATGGGCTAGCTCTGTGGCTGTCTGGAGAAATAAAAGCACTTCATGCAATTAGGCTTCCCCTTGTGCAGGGCTGTGTTTGCTTAGATGGGGCCGTGAGTGTTTTTGACCTCACCCTGGGGTCCTGCCATGGGTCTTTCCATGTACACAGCTTACTTAAAAACTGACATGGGAGGACTAAGTGAGCACAGCTGGGCCCTTGCAGCCATGGCCCTGCTCTAGTTTGTCAGAAAAAGGTACCCTTGTATAACCCATCCACTAATGAAGTCATGGCCTTTTCCACCAGCACTGAATCAGCCTTAATGTTCCTAGCAACAGCTCTGAGAAACTCATTTTCTTCTTTGCTCTTGGTTGGAAACAGATGTCTCACTTAAGCCTTATCATCATGACAGAACCTGATGTCATGGCCTTTAAGCCACTTCTGAAAAGTGGGTTTCTGTTCTGGTAATGCTGTGGTCTTCCTGTGATAACAGGCTGTTTCAGTGCAGCAAAAGTTCGGACATTGCTTTGAAATTCAAATCTGAGCTGCTTTCCTTTAACTCTGCCGTCAAGGGTCAGGTCCTCAGTAGTATCCATGCTCTCTACTTGGAATCACTAGCTAAAACTGAAGGCAGGATGTGCACTACTGCAGCCTTAAAAGGGGCCCCTCATACTCTGCAGTTTTGGTCAAAAGCAAGCAGTGTCAAGCAAATGGAAACATGGAGTACTGCATGCAGCTTTAGGGCCCCCAGCCAAGAAGAACACAGAAGTATTGGAACAAGTTCAGCGGAAGGCCACAAAGATGATCAAGGGGCTGGAGCACCTCTCCTACGAGGACAGGCTGAGGGAGTTGGGGTTGTTCAGCCTGGAGGAGAGAAGGCTCTATGGAGGCCTTACAGCGGCCTTCCAGTACCTACAGGGGGCCTGTAGGAAAGCTGGGGAGGGACTCTTTGTCAAGGGGTGTAGGGATAGGACAAGGGGTAATGGCTTTAAACTAAAAGAGGGTAGGTTTTGATTAGATATAAGGAAGAAATTCTTCACTCAGAGGGTGGTGAGGCACTGGCACAGGCCGCCCAGAGAAGCTGTGGATGCCTTATCCCTGGAGGGGCCAGGATGGATGGGGCTTTGGGCAGCCTGGTCTGGTGGCAGGTGTCCCTGCCCATGGCAGGAGGGTTGCAACCATTCTATGATTCTATGAAATAACCACCTTGCTCACATTTCATAGCATATTTTTGTGAATGCAGCCCAGTGCATTGTTTATTTTCCCAAACTGTTTTGTACTGTTGATTCTTGATCAACAAATTATCAGCCCTGAGCTTACATTACTCATACAGTTCCTCCATCTAATGTTGTGGTGTTCCTGTGTGGTCCTTCACTGCTGCTTCCAGTGAACATTCACATCTTTGTGTTGTCTGTTTAATGAATCAAGGTTCCTATCTGCATGTACAGATGATCCTTTCTGATATAGAAAGCAGGGATGGACTAAAGACTAAAATAAATCCATGACTGCCTATAACTAAAAATATTATAAGGAAGAGTAAAAAGCAAACTCTTAAATGTTATTTTTCTGTTGCTTTTCAGCTATTACTTCATTTTAAAATTGCCAGTACTAGATCTGGTATAGGGAGGTTAAGAAGTTAATTGAAGAAACACATCAAAAATATTTCTGACTACCCTGAGGCTGATGTTGTTGGAGATAAGCTCTGCAGAGACATGCACCTGGTTTGGAAGAAAGGTAGGGAAAGAGGCATCATATACCACATCATATCCCTTGAAGGCTCTTGCTACAGTGTTTTAGTCACTCCCTGATGTCATAAGTATTGTGAGAGCAGAGAAAGAAAAAGAAATGTCTTACAGGTATCTTAAAATTAATCATCTCTTGGGCCTGATTGGAGTTACTTACATTTGACATTGATTTCAATGGATTTACAATATGGAGCTAGAATAGACCTAGTAATTTCTCTCAAACCAAAGCCTTCCATACCCAGCAGAAAAGACCTCAGTCTTGGTAGAAAAACGTTTTAAGCAAATACATTTTCAGCCTTCCCAGTGACAGGGGAGAGTCAATGAGTTACTTACAGGCCTTCCTGGAATGTCAGCACAGCAAGTTTCTGGTGCTCAGTGTAGAAGAAGGCTTCTGAGAATCTCCTTACCTGAGGAAGAAACATACCAATTAAACCTAAGATCTACTGAAAGGTGCCAAGCACAATCAAGCTGAAAACAGAGAAATGACTGTCAGGACCAGATTCTTTAGTATGCTCTGTCTGCTTTGCACCACTCTGGTGACAGAAAGAAAACAAAGAGCTCAACTCTGCTTCACTTTCCCAGTCCAGCACAAAGCAACTGATGCTGTTGCATATTTTGCTGGGAGGGAAGAAGTGTACCTTGAGAGGAAATCAAGATTTTCTTATATGCATCTTCTGACTACTTTTCTAAAAGCTGTCAGATTTACCATTTTTTCCTTGTAATATTAAAACAAGGATTTCTTCCTTTCCCACTGTACAAATCATAGCAGCAGTGGAGTGAGTTACTAAATTAGAACAACTCATGATTGATCATCTTTTCTGTGGGAACATTCACAGTGGTTCCCAAGATGATAAAGGAAGTTTTATACTTCAGCCTAGAGGAGAATAAGCCCTGTCATGGCAGAAACACATCTGCCTATGTCACGATACTTACAAATGAGAGCTTCTCAAATCTCTTCATAGACATTTGATCTGCTCAGTGTTGGATAATCAATTACAAAAGAGCCACAGATCTGAAGTGTCTGGCAGAGCACAGAGTGTGTAATAAGCTATAAAAAATTCAGTGTTTCTATCTGCCCTGGAATAAGCTTTGAGTTTCAATCAATCCATCATAATATGCAGTCAACTGTACTGAACTGTTAAACTGCAGCCCATACATAACTAATAATATTTGTAAGAGCGACCTCTATTATGGTGTCAGAGAATGGCAGTGAAAACCACATGTCACAGCATCTCAGCGTCTCCCTAAATCCCAGCCATACTTCAACAAATGGCTTTTCTAATAAAAGAATGACTATCACTTCTTTAAAAAGAGTGCATTGGTTTATCTGGAGCTCTCAAAGTGTTTTCTAGGACTAGAAAAGTTTTATTACACACAGCTTAGATAGGGAGGAACTGATGTACATGAAGGTACATCATTTACCACAGGTCATGCCATCAGTTGTCATAATTTGAGTCTAGGATTCACCTTGCTGGAGCTGGGGGCCTACAGAGTTGGGTCCTTTGGCTGATCAAGCCATCCAGGTCCTCTCAGAGTCAAAGGAGACATAGCTAAAATAGCCAGTGGAGTCTCAGCATCATCTACCTCTTTCTGAGTTTTATGTCTCCCTTTTGCAAGCATAAACATTATCTTATCTCCAGTGACTGGACCTCCACTGACTTTAACAAGAACCAGTATGTAAATTGGGATGTTAGCACCTACACTGTAGCCTTCTAAAGCTAAGCAAGATGAACCCTACTTTTCTCTATGTCTCTTTTTTAATGATTAGATTAGGCTATGAGTTCAGCTCAACCAATGTAATGAAAACAATGTATAGTCAATAACCCAAAACGTCCTCATGGAAGGCACAGCACTTGCTGAACTAATCAGGTAAGTAGCTTTGATACAGTTAGCCCAAAAGGCAATTGCTTTTGTGCCTTCTTTATTATCAAGAACCAATTTCCACATGAACAGTATTAATATTTCCTTTTGTGAAACTCACTAGGAGAAAGGCAAGAACTAGCTTTATATATGTGACATAGTGAAGAGAACAAATCTATATTCCTCATCGTAGTTCTGTGAAAGAAATTGAGATAAACTCATCTTTTGGTTACTTCGCATTGTGATGCTTGTGCCTTTTAAAACATATGATTGTGATGTACGGATACCTAGCAAATATGGGGCATATCTACCTCTTTTCACCCACTTCATGTTCCACGCTGGATTCTAGTATTCAGTGTACATTCATTTTACACAGGATTCTGGGTACCATAAAAGCAACATCATTGCAAAAATTTAAATCTTTTTTTTTAATTTCTCTTCTTATTCCTTTTCCTACTCACCACATCTCCCATAATGGTTCGTAAGACATAATAGTAAGAGAGATATCTATCCAGATACATGTACATCACCAATGTCTGTCAAGAGGTTACCATTATGGAACTTGCTTTTAACTTCTTAATGTTACCCTTAGCATATGATGCTCCTGAGTCAGATAAGCTGTGACTTCTGTATGGAGTGTTGCCACCTCCAGGAACTGGGTCCACAGGGCCAGGAGGTGGGAGCAAAGCCAGGCGAGGTCCTTGCTTATCTGTTCTGCTATCTTCTCTGGGTTGCTCAGCAGCTGGAGGGGAGAAAGGGCATTCTGAGAGAGGCATTTCAGAAAATCAGGTAGCATCTTAGGTTAAGACTTTTTAAGAAAAACAACAACAACAAATCCCCTTGATTTAGAACTATTATTAAAGCCACTATTTTGAGTTATTTTACCCCAAAATAATGCAGGAGAGACTTTTGCTTTTTCTCTTTAAAAGCCATGAGGTTTAGTGCAGAGTCTCAGTTACATATCTGGAGAAAAAAAAGATCAAGATGAACAAGGGACTGCAGCACCTCTCCTAGAAGGAGAGGCTGAGAAAGCTGGGACTGTTCTGCCTGGAGAAGAGATGGATCAGAGTGGATTTTATCAATGTGTATAAATACCTGCAAGGAAGGCGCAAAGAAGATGGAGCCAGGCTCCAGTGACAGAACAAGATGCAATGGGCACAAAATGGAACACAGAAGATTCTGTCTGAATTTCAGGAAGCACTTTACTGTGCAGGTGACGGAGCACTGGCCAGAGAGGTTGTGGAGTCTCCTTCCTTGGAGATACTCAAAACCCATTTGGACATCGTCCTGGGCACCCTGCTATAGGTGTCACTGCTTGAGCAGGGGCTCGGACCTGATGACATCCAGAGGTCCCTTCCAACCTCACCCATTCTGTGATTCTGTCATTCTGTGAAGTGGCAACAGCTTCATTTTTTTCCAGAAACTTTAGTGCAGATATACATGTAGTAAATAGAAAAAAAAAAAAAAAAAAAAAAAAAAAAAAAAAAAAAAGCAGATTCCAAACTACCCACCAGATGGTGCTGGATGCTCTGAAATAATAAAGCATGGCCCGTTGTCTCCTTTCTGATTGCAAGAAAAAATAAAAATAAATCCTTCTCAGCCACATCACACTAGAATGCCAGATGGGTGATTATAGGGGGAAAAAAAAAAAAAAAAAAAAAAGGCAAAAAAGCACTGTGTCAACACACAATTCAACCAGACATCACAGAGTCTGCTGGTGCTTCTGTCCCACACGGGGATGGGATGGGGTCTTTGGTGTTCCCAGATGGAATTCTGCACTGAAGCGTGGCAGCCCAAGGAGTGCAAGGTCATCAGCAAAGTCTGCATATCGACCCCTCCCAGTTTGACAATTTCTTCAACAACAGACAGGCATTGCATTTTACCTTTACTGGGTTGGCACAAAAGCAACAGAGACTGTATCTGTTGGTAGGGACTCTACCTGCCTCTATGAAACAGGTAATACTTCCAGAAATATACCATAAATAATACCACAGGGAGTTGTTCTTTCTTGTCCAGGTCTTGTCTTTTTTTTTTTTTTTTTTTTTTTTTTCCTTTTGGTTGGAACTGCAGTCTAGTTGAAAGCCTGCTTATGTCTCGCACAGTTTATTATGCAGTTAATTTTCAGACTGGTGACACTGCAAACTAAGTCATGATTAAAAGCAAATTGTGTGAGACAGAAACAGAGCAGATGCATATATGGATAATAACCACAGATATTGTCAGAGTTTACTTTGTTGGGGTGCTAGTCTGTTTTAATGATTTGTCCAAAATGTCACAAGCTCCAGTACCCATTCTGCTACCAGAGAAAACATGTTGTTAAACAACAGATATTCCCCATATATCACTCTTTGCAGAGTTAGGACACTTCTTTATTTCTGTATTCAATTTTATTTTTATTTGAAATTTAGCCAGTAAGCTACTTCTTACATCAAAGACCAAAAGCACAGTCTTCAAAGAACATGAATTATTAATGTCAGCCATGCTAGGATGAGGGGTATGATGGCTATTTGTCTAGTTTATTGATTTTTAACCTTTTGAACAGGAAGGAAAGAAGGAAGGAAAGAAGAAAGGAAGAAAAAGAAGGAAGAGAGGAAGGAAGGAGGAGAGGAAGGAAAAGATGAAAGAGTGGAAGGAAGGAAGGAAGAGAGGAAGGGAGAAAAGGAGGAAAGGAGGAGGGGAGAAGGAAAGAAGAAGAGAGGAAGGAAGGAAGGAAGGAAGGAAGAAGGAAGGAAGGAAGGAAGGAAGGGAAGGAAGGAAGGAAGGAAAAGGAAGGAAGGAAGAAGGAAGGAGGAAGGAAGGAAGAGGAAGGAGGAAGGAAGGAAGGAAGAAGGAAGGAAGGAAGGAAGGAAGGAAGGAAGGAAGGAAGGAAGGAAGGAAGGAAGGAAGGAAGGAAGGAAGGAAGGAAGGAAGTCAGGCAACACCTACTCCTAATTGTGAGAATTTTGCTGCCACGTACAGAGCAAGAGCCTGGCAACCCTTGCAATGCAGGTTAATTCCCAAGGACTCAGTTCCTCAAAGCAAAGCCCAACAATTAAAATGATCACCAAATATGATTCTGGCTATTCTGCTCAAGTACTTGCTGCTGGGCTGTTAATCATGACTGCACCTTTCAAACCCCACTCAGGGTATTCTGGTTTTAACAACACTGTTATGCAAAACACATTTAGAGGGCTTTTTGGAGGAATGATTTTTTGCTCGATTGCTTACAAATTAATCACACAATTAGAAAAATATTGTCCTTCCATTTTCTCATTTTGAATATCTGCTGTGTCCTTGGGTTGAATACAAAATAGGGTAAACGTCACTTTCTTCCCTTCTTTTGTTTTTATTTAATTCTAAAAACGGGCCTGACTCTGGTAACACAGTGGTAATGGGAAACTAACCCCACAGGCTTCTCTCTGTATGGTTTTAATAGCATTTTCTTCCTTTATAAATGACTGCTCTTCGTATTTTCTGCTGAAGAGAAATGGTTTCAGTTCACATATTCCTAGAGGCAAAGTACAGGGAGAGCTTTGCCAATACTCATCTGAACACCATACAGAGGTCCACACAACTTCTGCACGTACATTGCAGAGCTGGTCAGTGCTGCCTCTAGGTCCCAACAATATTGTACAGGGTCTCAACATTTATGTCTAAAGAGTCTCTGCAAATTCACTGTCTTAATCATTAAATTATCAGTAGAAAGTTATGATTCAAGGATGCTAATGCCAAATATTTTCCTAGCATATAGGAATATCATAGTTGATTTTTGTTGCTGTTGTTTGTTTTTGTTAACCCAAAGCCATTCTAGCTGTTGTGTTCTCCTTTCTGCTGCTACGCTGTTATGGTCAGCTTTCAAAAAACAGTAACAGCAATCTCGCTTTATTAATATGGCCATGCAAAACAAGTCAAGAAGCTTTTTAGGAGAATAATAATTGGACATAAATAAGAAAATACAAAAAAAAAAAAAAAAAAAAAAAAAAAAAAGCTGTCATTTTCTGTTGTATGCCAAACCAGTTTGCTGGACTCATAAAAAAGAAGTCCTAAGGAGTCTCTAGTGAGTGTTGTCTGACCCCCTGTATACTTAAGATTTCTAAATTTCTGCAGTCTAGTTGAGTTGAGCCACATAATTTAGGTTTCCCTAAATCAAATTTAAATTAAATCAAATTTCTTTCAAAGAATCCAACTTATGACATAGAATCAAGAAATTCACCTTTCCAAACATTTTTCACACATGGCTGACAAACATTAGCCTACCATTTGTAACTGTTGCATAAACGTACTTGCAGTTTGATTTGGTTTCAAATTCCCTTCATTAATTGTTATTTTGCCATTCTTTCCTATCCTGTTTTCCTGCTAATAACCTGAGAAAATCAAAACTATTAGATCTCTGATTACAAACATTTTCCCCAGTCATCAACTGCCGTTTCAATTTCTTCCTGACAACCTTGACTTTCCTGTGTCTCGCTTGAAGCCAACGCAGCAGAAGTTCAAGACAGTAATTCAGTCACACTGTGCCAAAATCACTTGTGTCTTCCCATGAGCTTCCCTACACATTTAGGTGTTTTTATATGAAAAAAAAAAAAAAAGTGGCTGCACAACTTGCCAAAAAAATCTTTTCTCCTGTCAGCACAAAAGCTGTAATTGCACCCTATCCCCAAGTCATTTTTTGTGCATACTCTTGACACTCAGGGCTAGGATCAGTGAAGGATCCTAAAGCAATCCAGCTGGTGACTCGTTAAAAGTGACAGAAACATTATGTAAGCGAATAATCAAAATTATGTGAAATTGTTGGTGAAAAAGAAACATTCAGCAAACTTTCTGTTGGCACCAAATTCCTTCTCTCCCCACTCTGATAGATGATTGTACTGTCTCACTGCACTTGAAAAATGGACTCGTGAAAAGCAGACCGATTCTGTTGAAGAAAATACCTGCAGCTCTGTACAAAGCTGAGATAACGTGTCTTCCGTGGAAAGCTCTTCTAGGGAAAAAAAAAAAAAACACAGAGAGAGAAACATATCAGGTTTGAGAACAGTAGGTGTGAAATGTTAAAGCTCTACTGTTTATTCACACAATAAGTAGTCATTTGATGTTTTTTCTGCCAATGGATGAGTTTTTGTTAGGATGTGGGTCCTCCACGGTACACATTGTACCTGCAGAGGGACAGATACAATTTCTGCTTATGCTGAACCGCTAAACCTGTACATGTTCTGGAAGGCTGTTAGGACACAGAGGACAGAATTGGGCTTTTCATTATTTACCCTTCCCCTTAGTAGAATTTTTTTATTAGTCTTTGGTGCTTATCAATGTATATAAACACTTGAAGGGAGGCTGCAAAGAGACAGGTTCTGCAGTAGTGCTCAGTGGCAGTGGGCACAAACTGGAACACAGGAGGCTCTGTTTAAACATCAGGATGCACTTCTTTACTGTGCAGGGCCTGAGCACTGGAACAGGTTGCCCAGAGAAGTTATGAAATATCCCTCCTTGGATATCTTCAAAAGCCACCTGGACATGGTCCTGGGCAGCCTGCTCTGGGTGTCCCTGTTTGAGTAAAGAGGTTGGACCAGATGGCGTCTGGTGCTCACTCCCAACCTTAACCATTCTGTTATTTATGGCCAATTTCTGACCTAAATGCAGTATTATCTCAGCCATTGGAAAATGCGAGCAAATGATATACAATAAGTGGTTCTCCTTATCATGCTACATGAGGCCATGTAATAAACGCCCTAGTTGTATGACTGGTAATACTAAAGCGTCTCTGTATCACCCTGTGGAATGTGTCACCACCCCTAGACTATGCAGCATTGCTTTGATACAGCCCTGAGATCCAGTCCCTAGCATAGGGACTGTCCACATTAAATGCATCACAAACTATAAAGCAGAGGAAGACATAAATCAACTCTCCAACTTTGACAGCCAGATTTTGCAATGTGGAACTTTCTAGTAGTATATAGAAAGAAAAAAAGCAGAGAAAACAAGCAACCAATCCCCTCCCCAATACCCAAGTGATTCTTCTTAAATAATACTAAGGAATTTAAGAGGACAGAGTGAGATGCATAACACCTCAAAAATATCTCTCCACAGCTGGTAAAAATTGGGAGACAATAATTTCCACTTTTAAAGTCTAAACTAGGCTATTAATTTTTTAATATATTATTCAGGGGGCTAGAAAAAGGAATTTAGAAAGTCCGCAGAGGAGATTTATAGTCTCATATTTATCTTAACTATCTTTAGAAACCTATGATGAGATTAATTTCACCAAATATAGATGTCTAAAACTGAATGAGTCATTTACATTCTTCTCCTGGTCAGTGGAGAAAAATGAGCCAGTACAAGATGCAGTTCATGTCATTCTAAGTTAGAGAGCACTACTTGTCAGATAACACATTTTATTGTCCTAAATGGGCCTGTGTCTCCCCAGTGACTGTAAGGACAGTCCGAGCAATTGTCTCATATAAAAACTGGCTTGATATTCATCATACTGGGTAAACCTTACACCCCATGATTTTTCTGTGCTTTGCATCAGGCCTCAGAAGGCTAGCCTTAAAATCGAATCTTCAGTAGATTTTCAGGCTGTGAATAAAATGATGCAAAGAGTGCTCTGCTCAAGCAGCTAAAAAGGGTATTTGCATTTAGCAAATTTGCATGTATTACAACAAGTACATTTGCAAATCAAGTGCCTGCTTCAGTACCAGTAGTCATTTGAAAACTAAGTCAATTGTATTCAGAAAGCCAATATGTGCATATCTGGGGCTGTTCTTCAGTTGTGGTCAACCAACCATACATAACTCTGCCATCTCCCAGTCTATAAGCCTGTCCAGGTAAAACACAAATCATCTAAAAATGTGCCTGATAACCAAAATGCTCGAAGCATGGGTTTTGTTGCATGTTAGATTCTGTTTGACAGCTCATAAATTGCAAATAAACATGCTGTACTTTTTTTTTTCCTCATAGCTGAATTGAATAACACAGTATGTGCTCTTCCCATCCCATGAGTTTCAGGTTTCCCGTGAGTGGAAATATATATCAGGGAACAAAACATAAAGAAACATAAAGTGGAAAATAGAAGCTATCAAGCTCATAAGTCTGTACAGAATAATGTATTATATTTGAAAGTGCTTGTAGTAAAAAAGCACTACAGTAAAAAAAGGAGAAAGATTTTATCATCCCTTTTTAAATCTGCTGCCCAATGCCATCAATTTTCATAATATAATTATCCCTGAAATACAACAAACTGCTAACTTAGAAAAAAATGTGCATTCAGATGTACAATGAGACAAAAACACAGATGAGACACATGCCTTAAATTCAAAGAAACAGGTGGGAGAGCAGGAATTAGTCAGGGATGCTCCTCATTTTCACAAGAGCTCATGCTGTCATTACAAACATGACTAAACACAAATTACTGAGCTCTGTCCGGCAAATCCAGCCAGACAGCACTTCTATGTTGGACCCAATAGGCCTGACCAGCTAAAAATGTTTCTGCCAAAAAAACTAGAAAATCTATTTAAACAAATGTAATTATAATATGGGCAGAGAAGTGCATTGCAAAGGGATGGAGCACGTTTCATAAACATTCATATCACCTTTCAGATTTTTGTTTACAGTTTAAAAAGATACAAATTTGGTTGGGAGTAAAAATTGCTACAGTCTTCACCAGATCTCATGGTGATTTTGAAATGGAAGTTAAAATCTTCAGAAAGCAATGGAGTCCAAATACCATTTAGAGGCAAGTAATCTGAGAAATTTATCAGAACATTTTACCCCTCTACACATCAGGCAACCTTCAGTTCATGTAAAAGGATTTTCATAAGCAGAGAAAGCATTAGTCTAACTGTGTGCCAAAATAAACACTAATCAGGAAACAGGGAGAAAAATCCTCTAAAATCTCTACACAGGCCAAGAATTTTGGTACTAAACCATGTATTGAAAACAGCAATGTTCTATATTCAGTGATTTAAAATGTCTGTTCTCTCACCCAACTTCAGCTGTGGTAAATCAGGAATCTCCTTCATTATGAGGGTGTAGTACATGTGAAGTCCTCTTTGAGCATTCAAGAGCAGAAGACAGAGGTCCTTATGCCATTTGTATGCATGCTGCATGCAGTTTTCAGATGGGACATAAAAGCTGCCCTGTATAACAAAAGTATCAAGAAAAGAAAAATACAGAAATATAATTATTGCTCTCCATTTGTCCTACAAATTTCCACAAAAATTTAATTGTGGTCAGACTTTCACTTCTAACCAAGCGTTTGGCACCCAGATCTACTTCCTAGCCGTGTAACCATAACCGCACCTCATTCTCTGTGTATGCTTTGCCCAAACCATATCAAAACTATTAGGTCCCAGGAATGCTGTCACATATACACTGAAACTAAAAGGAGGAAAGAATAACTCATATTAGTAGGTAGAATGGCAATACCATATGCATTTTTTCACTAATGCGAGTTATTCTGTCCTCCAGGATCAACAGCATGATTATTACCTCTCGTGGGAAGAGATGTCATTGGACAGACTACAACACATTTATACAAAAATATCCCAAATTTCTTTACACTTAGAACATAAGCTGTGTTTACAATAAGACATCCTAGATCAAAAGTTTTCAGTTCCGTCAAAAGCACCACTTCTAGAAATAATCTATATTTGGAATTTGAACTGTTCAGACTTCAAAATAAAACTGTTTCTTAAACTGTGCTTTTGTGGCCAGAATTTCCAGGAGAGTTGCAAGTAATATTATGTCAACTGTCAGTAATAGGTCTATTTCCTAGTCTCTGTGAACGATGCATTTTAGCAGTTTTCATCACATCATGGAACTGCTATCCTCTTTCAATTTTTGGAAATGGTGCAGCACAAAGGCCTGTGAGCTTGCAGTCAATGACTATAGCTGCTTCTTGATCCCCCGCTGACTCTAGTCACGGGGTGGGGTGTGATGGTGTATTCCCCCACACACCTGAGCTTTTCACCCATAATCCTGCTCAAGTGATAACCAGACAGCTGCAGACAGCTCAGATTGGACTCTGAGGAGACAGAAAACAACACAATAGTCAAGGGCTAATTGAGCATGTGCCAACCAAATTATGGTTGGTATGCAAATATGACTGAGTCCATTATCTCACCCCATAAACAGGGGGAAACCCAGAGCCCATTGAGCTCCCTTACATGTCAGTGGGCTGTATGCTAGGATTGCTAGGATCTCTGCTTGAGTAGGGGCACCTCTTAAGATTACTCTTTGAGGATGAGAGATTCCTCACCTATTAGAGATCCTCGGTAAGGCACTAATAGCTTGCTGAAACTTTGCAAACTTACATTTCAGATTGATTGTGCACATAGTCTTTTAGACATAAACTGTTGACCAAGTCTGGGACTAACATTGGATCCAGTGATACCTAAACTGCTTTGAAAAGCAAAAGGGTCCATTCTGAATCTCATGACTCAATGGGAGGCTCTCCTGACAATTTCATCTGACCCTGTCCTCTATGCAGTAAATAACTGAGCATACCTTGCCATTGAGGCTTTTTAAACCACTGTCTTAATTTACCATTAACTTCATCAAATCACCATCTTATATATTGCTGCTTCTCTCTTACAAGTGAAGTGCATCACTCCTCTACAACAACCACACAGGATTAATTTATCTGCTTTGCATGAAGAGCAAGGGTTATGAAGACAAAGAGAGAAAGACAGCAAGGTACTTTTCCCTTGAACTTTATGAAGTATTAGGTAAATTAAGCATACATCTAGATGTGCATTTTAAGGCATATGAGCTGCACAAAGGCACCAGGACACGACTTTCCCACTGTCTATCTATGGAGAAACATGAACAATTTGCAAGTTACTCCACTGCTGATCATTTATGGGGAAAAAATACAATTCCTACATACCCTGTTAGGTACTGATTGTGTATATGGACACTAAGTAGCTATGCACCTTCAGGAAGAACAGTGAAGACTTCAACTACATGTCAGTGCACCTCCTTTGTTTTTCTCCCTTTGAGTCCCTCCAGTAAAGACTTCATTTCATGGCTTTTAGCTTGAGCTAGGATGTGATTCTCAACTTTCTTGTGTAAAATAACAAGATGTTAACTCATGTTCTGTGGTTCACACAATGGGGACTGCTCAGCTTGGCCTCTTAGAGAAATGGCTAACAATAATTGACTGAGTTGGTTGTTCTTGGAAGGTTTCAAAAACTCTAGCCTCAGCATGAATCTGTATTTTACTCTCACCATGAAAAACACAAAAAAGGCAGCATACAGAAATGCTGCTGGGAATAATAGAAAATCTGATGTAGATTGATACACAATGTCACCAAAAAAAAAAAAAAAAAGTCCTGTTTTATAATCCGTTGCCAAATTTTAAGCAGAAATAGCTCTGGAATTTAAATGCTACACTGACAAGCAGAAGGAACAATGGGAGATAATTTCATAGTTCATACCAGCACTATAACGCAGTATTGTCAGGCAAGTCTAAATTTTGATAGGTCTATTTTCAGCCTTTCTTGTCATAAATTGTTGTTTAAAACTAAAATGAAGAAGTAATAGGAAAGCACAACTGCAGGTGGGCTCAAAAATGTGTGAACTAAAGACAATGAAAAACCGTATTAATTAGCTGTTTTAAATGCATTAATGTTTGCCTAACAGTCATATAGTGCTTTTTAAATTTTCTGAATTAATAAAATTTCATAGAGATCAGACGGATCAGTTTGCAGAGCATGGGAGTTTAGGAGAACATACTTTGCAAAGATTTACACAGTATTAAAACACAGAATGGGGAAATAACTGTTATTAAAAATAGTTCTCAATGTTATATGTTAGCAATAGAACTTGGTCGTTATTGTAGAAATATTAAATAATTTAGGTCTGAAGGGATCTGTGGAGAGCATCTAGTCTAACTACCTGCTTAAAACAGTTATGATCAGATCAGGCTGCTCAGTGTTGTGTTCTGTTTGGTCTTGAACATCTCCAAGGAAGTAGATTTCACCACCTCTCTGAGCAACTTGTTCCAGTGTTTAACCATCTTCACAGAGCTGTTTTGGGGGCAGTTGGCCACTGATATGCACTACTGCCTTGGGTTTGTTCATCCCAGGTGCAAGATTTTCTATTTGGTTTTGGTTATATTCATGAAGTGCCTACTGCTCCATTTCTCCAGCCTACTGAGGACACCATGAGTAGCAGACCTTTTTGCCCTCCACTGTAGTAACTGCTTCCTTCCGAACTTGGTTTTATCCAGCTTGGCAATGAGCTGTTCTTATCATCTGAGGAGTTTGCTCTTGAAGATTAAACAGCACTCTCAGGCCTCATTTACCCTCCAGGGTAGATTCCCAAGGGATCCAGACAAGAAAGTCCCTGAACAGGCCAAAATCTGATCTTCTGAAGGCTTGTAATTCTTCTGTTTAACTTGCTAACTTCTCTCAGGATGTTAAACTCCATAGTCATACAGTTGTGGCAGACAAGGCTGCCCTTAATAGGCATGAGAAGAGGCAATTCCCAGGCCTAATTCTTATGCATCAGACTTGAAGTGTGACTCTGTGATAATCATTTGTCCCATACATTCACTGGTGATGCTGACATAGGCTATTTGCTTCCTCCAGTGACTCCTTTTCAGGGATGCAGCCAAGACTTGCCATTTTTGGCAGCACTGTTATACACACCTGAGAGCTTGAAATGTATCAGCTTGTAAGAAGGACTGCAGTTTTACTTTCTCTTTTGTAGACAAAAGTATGAGAAGAATTTACCTGTCTATGTCCACTTCTGATCATTTCTGTCAGTTAATTCTACGGACTTACTCAGGATTTCAGGAAATAGATTACTGTGAATCCAAAATTCTATTTTAAAGGTCAGATATTTCTGAAGATCCTCTAACATTAAGTCCCAGACCAATTAGTTTCAGAGACATTGCAAAAGCAGCAAGCATCTGGAGTCACTGCCCTAGTAATCTGTGACAGGAATTGTATAAATGCCAACTTAAATTCATTTATTTATTAAAAACATCCCTAGTAATTATGTCCTTTTTGGGGAGGGAGGGTATGCATGAATAGCAAGAGTGTATGTATGGTGGAATAGGTTGTTTCTATATTAATAGAGAAAAGCCACCTCCATATTGATAATTTCCAAGCTCTAGGGTCCTGTGAAATCAAAAGAGCAGAACCTTTGCCACCATTTCAGCCATGCTCTGTACAATTCAGTCTGGATCCTCCTTTCAGTAAAGGAGTTGTTTTCAGATGGAAGAAATATGGCTAGCAAGTGGTGCAGTCCTCCAATGAAATGTTGGTTTTTATATATGCAGGATGATATGCAGGATGATACTTATGATACACAAGCTGTTGGTTCTGCTTCCTCCTTCATGGAGCACCATCTTCCAATATGAAGCAGCACAGTGAAGGAAAAACTAACCTGGGGTATTTCTTACAGAAATAAAGTTTCAGTTTTATACCTTCCATTTGAAGAGAAAACATATGAGGAGAAATGTTGTCAAATGTATTCATTGAAAGCAGACAAAATTAAGAAAGTCCTGGGCTCTGAAAGAAGGACTCACACAAACACAGATACGTATTTCTGAGCTACAAGCTCTTTCAAGAGATGGAGAACTGATGAAGAAAAATACATTGCTGTGTAATTATTGTTTTCATGACTAAAATGTCATCTAAAATCAGGAAATTTAATTGTGGCCATTTCTTCCCAATAAATGAAGAAAACATAGGACAACTGGTGACACATTCTACACTGCAGAGATGCATAATTAGGAGCACCGAATAAGGCCACAACAGACGAATCAAATTTCCTGTACAATTGCTGTGCATCAAAGTGTATTTCTTCAAATATTTCTATGAGATATTGATAATATACATGAGTGCATAGGGTCCTGAGGAGGTTACTCCCAGATCTCCTTTCTCTTCCTGTCACAGTTCTCTCCAGGAGGAATATCTGTGTCAAAGAAAGGTGCTGTGCTCTCAGAATACCTTTGCATGGGAGGGCTAGCACTGCACAGTTGCAGCTCAAGGCGATGCCAAACCAGCACAGACTAGGCCATGTCGTGTGTTATTAAGAAGCCATACCATTAATCTGGAGCATTATGGTGCACCTCCATTAAGTGGCAGATGACTTCAAAATCCTGTTGTTTAATGGGAACATCCAT